TTGTGCAAGAGAGAAATAAAGATGTTTTATTATGTTATTTATTTTACCTGGTATCTTGCTTTGAAATATAAGTATGATTTTAAAGATTCTGAAACAGAAGTAAGAAAAGTGTATCCGCCACGTAATCAAGATTCTGAAGAAGATTAGGTAAGTTAGTATTTTTAATTATTTGAGGATATTATTTTTATGCATTGTTGTAAATGTAAGGTGGAAAGGAATTTGGTATTATTGGGAAAATTGTTATTAGCAATGATTTAGTTTAAAGTAATTAGGATTGTAAGGTAATTTTTATTAATTTAATGTATGTGCTCATTTATATTTTAAGTAGTGTTTTTGAATTTAATTATATTTTAATGAAATGATAGTTATTTTGTGAATTTTATGTTTGTAGGAATTTGGTATACGTTTTAAGTTGAAATAAACGTGCATGGAAATAATTTAAATATTTGATATTAAGTATTTGTAATGCTTGAGGTATGAATTCGTTGGTGACGTGTATAATGTAATAGATGATTTAGAGGTAAACGTTTTTGGATATTCTATTTATTTTATATGTGGAAATGTTGATATTTGTAAAGGGTAAATACTTTTTCGCGATCATGGTAATTTCATATATGTTCTTTTTACCGGGTTTAAAGATTGAGAAAATTGTCATGTATTTTCGTGAAATTTTTTTAATTTATGAGAAAAAAGCAGTGTACATGGATATAGTGAAGAGTGTGCGCAATGCCATTTTTGTGCAATTCTGGGATGTTTTTTTAAGTAAAAATAAGTCGACGTGTACATGATATTAGTGATATTTTAATGAAATGATAGTTATTTTGTGAATTTTATGCTTGTAGGAATTTGGTATACGTTTAAGTTGAAATAAACGTGCATGGAAATAATTTAAATATTTGATACTAAGTATTTGTAATGTTTGCGGTATGAATTCGTTGGTGACGTGTATAATGTAATAGATGATTTAGAGGTAAAAGTTTTTGGATATTTTATTTATTTTATATGTGGAAATGTTCATATTTGTAAAGGGTAAATACTTTTTCGCGATCAGGTAATTTCATATATGTTCTTTTTACCGGGTTTAAAGATTGAGAAAATTGTCATGTATTTTCGTGAAATTTTTCTAAATTATGAGAAAAAAGCAGTGTACATGGATATAGTGAAGAGTGTGCACAATGCCATTTTTGTGCAATTCTGGGATGTGTTTTTAAGTAAAATAAGTCGGCGTGTACATGGTTTATGTGTATGTGTTATTTTGAAAAATGCGTAAGGAGAATGGTATTGTGCAGTTTTTCCTAATTTTGCAGTGAATATTTGTCATGATTAAGCAGTTTTGTTTGATAAAATTTCTATCATAAGTGTAATTCGGCTAGTAGATTGTTGGAAGAAGTGTTCAGGAGATAAAAAGAAAAGAAACATGTCTTTACTTCATGAAGACAAAATGGCGGCGGGGAAAAAAATAGAGGGTTGCTGTAGGAGAGTTGGTCGCCAAATTTTCGTAAAAAATTCGCCAAGTTACCATAATGTAAAGATCAACCGTGAATAAAATTTCACCAGTCACGCAACATCTTCAACAAAAGTGCCACGATTTTGCTATATTACATGTCTTTCTGCGATTCAAAATTTCGAAAGTAATGATAAAAACTTCCTCCAAAGTTAACTTACTACACGAAAACCACAATCCAAATCTAAAACTCCACTGACAGCCACATACTTTAGCAGCAACTATTTGACTGCAAAACTACACAAGTTTATCAGAAACACCATTCTTCGCCTGCCTTCTCATATCAGCTCCGCATTTCAGACATGCCAAACTCCGTTTTAAAAGTCCTGACTCCCACAGAAATTCCAAAAATGTACTTCTATCCGCATAAACACACCCGTGAACAAAAGACTTGTTAACAACTTCAACATCGTACCTTTTAATACTAAATTTACTTTCCACACAATCTAAAATATGCGACTGAAATCTTGCCACCACATCTCTAAGTTTCAATGTCAAAAGGGTTGCCATACAAACAGCATTGTCTACCAAACTATACCATAGCACGGAATCGTGCCAAAAACCAGCACAGAAGTCATATTGCCACATTTGGTGATCTTAGAGCGCATATAAGAGTACAGCTTAATTTATTTTGTTGATTTGTGCAAAATGCCTAGATTGTGCAATTCGTAGATGTTTTTTAAGTTTAAACAGAATGCTGTGTGCATGGTATTATTTGAAATTTATTGTTGTTATGTTCACTTATTAAAGCGAGATGTGTGTAGTTCGCATATTCTTCTGCTGCCTAGATTGTGCAATTCGTACATGTTTTTTTAAGTTAAAACATATCGCTGTGTACATAGATTCTTGTCAAATATTTTTGGTTAAAAACTTTACAATTTTGCAAACTAGATTTTTTTTTTTTTTTTTTTTATTTTTAGCTTAAATTGTGTGTTCAAAACGTTGCACAAAAACCGAGTTTTTGGAGACATTTTAGGCTTTAAGTTCAAAATGTAGACAAAAAATTTAGAGAGTAATATGGCACCGTGGAGTTTCTCGCCAAAATTGTTGGGTGAGAAATTTGGCAACTTGAAGGCCCATATAAGAGTAGTTTCAAAAAGGATTTACAAATGAAATATTATATTTAAATTTGTCTTTTTATATGCCTCAAGGTACTTATTCTTGCCTCTAACAGACATATGCTGTGAAATGTTAATCCTTTGCATAATTAGCATGTTCTACATACTTGCATGAACATGCATATCCTAGCATGCTCATGCAAACATGCATTACATTGGTTTAAATAAAGTTAAAAATATTACTTTTTAAAATACTTATATATCCTCCCATTGGCCACCAAAGTCGGCAGAGATCCTGTTAACATTGCATTAAGTGTTTATGCAAAATTCTGAAGAAATAGATGCCTCTTTATTTAATAAACAATCAGTATGCAATTAACTTTTCTTTGCATTTCATAAAACGTTTTTGCTGATTTCTACCATTTTGTTAGGCTCTGTGATTTTACTGGAAGATGAACACTATGAGTACAAATTTCACTCAGTCTATTACAGTCAAAAGTCGTTAATTCGGACACTCATAATCCAGACCTCAAAGCTACAAACTGCCCATGCGTCAACGCATAATGCATTCACGCATACGCATAATACCTTTACGCATGCGCGTTTAATGTAATAACGGATGGTATAAGCTAGGCCAAAATTATCTATTTCAGTTAATATTGTAGATTGCGTTGTTCCTTAATCTTCGAATTGGATACAGTTTATTATTTTTTGCAGACTGTTAGAGCAATTTTATAAAAGTGAGCTTGAACTTTAAATTATGTCAAATAGAATTTTTGATATATATTTACTAATATGTAAAGGATCTACAAAGCGAAAGTATGTTTCGAAGTCCATTAAACAAAAAATGGAATTGCTCAAAAAATGGATAAAGGCATATCCTTCGTTTCTGTAACCATTCCGAAATCTGTTTATCAATTTCACGCTGCTCTGGGGGGAGGGGGGGAAACGCCACGAAGTGCAATGAATTGGAAGTTGATTTGTCAGCACTATCCTTATCTTCAGGGCAGATGTTTTTATTTTATTTGGATTATAATTCCTTACTAAATGTAGTATTTCATCTGGATGTACTCCATCTTTGATATGATTTAAATCAACTTCCTTGTCATTATAATTCGCTTTCAATAGTGAAGAAAGTGACACAGTGGTTATTGAAAACGAAAAAATTTCGATTGACAAATTAGTTTGTGTTCTCGACACAGCAATTATAGGACTTGAACAGCGGAACTTTGTAACTGAAGAAAAAATTATGTCTGTTTATAAAATTAAAGAGAAAGTATTATTACATAAAACGAAGCGACTTAAAGAACTTACATTGAAAGAAATGTTTAGTAAAGTAAACAAATAGATATTAAGCTTTTTTTTTTTTTTGTAAATTTTCATACCCTTTAGATCATAATTGCTCTTTATTTCATAAATTACGGTTTCATATTTTGAATTTTATAATTTCTGCTTGCCATCTTACCAGATTTAAACTGATGATCTAATACCTGGAAAAATTCCAAATCTGAGATCATATAAGTCCTGGCAAGTCCAGATCTCGGACTTTGTGCTATAGCTAGTAATGTATTAGTTACTTTTATTATTATTTCGATAATCTGGAATCGCCGAAGTCCCGACGAGTCCAGGATTAACGATTTTTGACTGTATTGTTTTGCTGCTCACATTCAGTTAACCATGTCAAATCCATGAATAAACACTTTTTTATGGTAAGATACCATGACTTTGAAATCAAACCATTACTTTTTATTCTGTAAAAGACAAATCTAAAATTACAATCATGTTTTGAAAATGCAAGAAAAAAAATTATGCCAAATAACAGCTAATTTATATCCTTATTCATAAAAACAAGAAGTGGTTTATTAAGAATCGAGGTTACATCAAACAAAAGCACAGGTGTTATGAGTGAGTTGTTACATCATGTTTATCCATAATTGATGCTAAATCATGTTGCTTGGTTCCACTTGCATGACCAAAGTAATAATGCACAAGAACTCCTTTTTAAATATTTTTACAGCATGCTTTCATGCTAAGGTAATTATTTTACATTATTTAAAAGAATTTCGCTGCATTTCTTATTATTTTATTAAACAGAAAATTCAAAAGATTCCTTTAAAATAAATAACCATTAAAAAATCATTAAACAATGCAATAAATCTAGAGTTGCATATATATATATATGTGTTATACAAATATGTTTTATCCATAACACAGCTCTCTCATTATTTATGAAATCCTAGGTAATGCACTTAAGTTGCATGAAAATATTAAAAAAATTAATATATAGTTACAATGCTTAACTAGATGCAAATCATTAGTAATTTTACGGACGGTCACTAGTTACAATTCACTAATCCAGATATTAGCTGGAAAGATACATTTGTTTACTATAATATAACTAGACGTTTACAGTTTAGGGAAAAAGAAAAAAACCATACCTTCAGATACTTCCATTGTGAAAAACCGAGAAACAGTATTTCTGAAATACAGGAAAAAAATCACATTTATCTATACAGGCTTAAGTTATCTACTACACGTAAAAAAATGTAATAATTAAATTAGAAAACGCTTTTAAAGATTGGATGCATTTTAAAGATAATATGTGTAACACCAATTTAAAGTAACAAGAAGTCAAAGTGGAAAATCAATTCAGAAAAACAGAAATACAATGAAACCCTTCAATAATAAAGCATAAAAATAACATGATTAACATTTTATCACGGAAACACTAAAGTTGATTTTAAATAAATTTCTCCAATAACAATGTGCCAATGCGACAACTAAATTGGTCTGCACAATAAGTCTACTAAATGATTTACCAATTACTATAATTTGATTAGAGATGCCTCATCAATTTGATGAAAACAGTTAAATGGGATAAATTATACATAAAATGCTCATTTGTATGAATAAAATATTTTTATTATTTAAAGCATCCTTAAAACAAACGCAGTTAAATCTCAGCCCAAATCAATTGCGCGCTAAAAGTTCTCAGCATTGCCATACCACATTTCTCGTTATTACAGTGGGGATTTTGTCATTATGAAATATTTTAGCAATTCATTAGGCATTTTATTCTTTTTTAAAAGTACAAATAAGCTTACTTTTACTTTTTAAAGTTTACTCTCGTATGCTTACACTAAAAACTGAATTTATTAAACTTCAAAACTTATATGTAAATTAATCGTAAAAAGGGGGACTAACTATAAACAACCATAATTGTGACGTAGCAATTATATTTTGTTTGTATCAAGGAGGTTAATGTATTTTAACCGGCTTGGTTTGTATTATCATGCTGAGTTTGCGAAATTATTTTTCCCTCAAACAAAATTGCCCTCTTTCTATTTGCCTTTCTTCGCATCTAGGTTTGATTTTTCGCTCTACAGGCAGAAAGACTTGATGGGTGTAAAACAAACTATGCTAAATCTCGTATATCGTTGTTATATACGCATATGTATGTTTGGTATTTGCTAACACCACTAAATTTGTTTCGTTATTATCTTACTGCACCATCGATCTAATGTCTAAACATGAAAATTAATAATATAGTTTACTGCTCTAAATAAGACGTTGGCTCCAAATAAGAATATAAAATGTGCTTGTTAGATTTATGTGTTAATTATTTTTTTAAATAGCATGATCAAAATATGATATATAAATTGTAAAATTTGCCTAACGGATAGTTTTTAACCACTATGTCATTTCCTGTGAGTCATAAAACTATTTTTGTGCTGGATCATGGCCCGAATTTCCTTGGTTCCTGTCACCAGAACATGGAATTCGATATATTCACGAAGACCAGACAACCGGGTATTATACCTCTGGCTCCGTTGTCAAAATCATTGTGGACTTGTTCTGTAGAAGCTGCTATTGAATACTGTAGAATTGTTTGGGATATTTTTCCTACTGAAAAGCTGGTAAGTTACATTTTTTAGAAGAATTTTTTTTATTATGTTTATCATTTTTAGCTTGGAACTCTTGTCAATATAAAACATCATTTTATTATATCTATTGCTCCAGCTTGAACAGAAATAAAAGTGTTAAATTCCATTGTAGGAGGCATATTTAAAAAATTTCAACCTGAAGTCTTATATTCATTCAGGATGCTTCCTGTTTAAAGTGACCATCCCATAAATATTTGCATCATTTGGAAATATCACACTACTGACTGTGATATTAAGTTCGCTATTTCTGATGACTAAGTGTGGAAAGCACTATAATAAGGAAGTACCCATTTGACTTATTTATCAAACTTCTGCTGACTAGTCCTGTGAAAATTTGAACGCTGATTTTTGTTGTTTGACTTCTGAATCAAACTTCTGCTGTTTTCTGCATGCAAACATCTTAATAAATAAAGTGACAAGACACTGGTAGTTTATTCATGATTAATTTTTGGAAGTTGTATAGCTAGCATGAACTTCCCTTTTTTTTTTTTTTTCCTTCTTCTCTCTACATATCTTAAATTTGAGAAAGGTGCCTTTGGAATGACCTCCTTAAAAAAGGTCACTTTTTACCTTCAGTTGCTTTTATGCTGGTGGCCAAAAATGGAAGCTGAGGCATAGAAATGAGCATCAGAGCAGAGCAAGGCAACTGAATGGACTAAAAGACTTATCAGGAGATAGATACGTGGGACTGGTACAGATATACGTGTGCACATATGGCATATGTCTTAGGGAGAGGAGTGTACAAAAGGGTGTTGTATATGCTCAGCAAATGTTGAACTGCTACAGCCATGTGATGTGGCCAACAGGCAATATAGGAGATGTCATCTGGGTGACTTTATCCAAGGTCACATCATTAGGAAAATGGAAGAAGTTCAAAGTGGTATAGGTGTAGCAGAGGAGTTTGAAATCACTCACAACATCATTTCATAAGCCTGCAGAGAATTTTAAATGCAGGAACAGCTGTTTGAGCATTCAGTAGTAGTCATCCAGATTGACAAATAGTTGCCTCGAAAAAATACTCCAAAGTCGATAAGGATTCATTAAAACTCCAAGTTGTTTAATAAAACACATTTATTAGATGTAAGCACATCGAAACTCAATATGTGCATCTTCAAATATCACAAAAAGATGCCTTCTCTTCTTATAATCAAAAATCAAATCAAATCTTGTACTCTTAAAATTAAAAAGAACAGACTTTGCTATATTTTACTGCTGCCAGAGCCTAACTACTAAAAAAAAAATCGTGCAGTTACAAACACATCAAAAATGAAATTCAGCATCATTATTAAAAGATAAAAATAAAATATAAACAAAATAGGCTAATCTTTGGAATATGTTAACAGGTAGTTTGGCGACATTTTGGTAAGGCGATAAAGGTTACTAGCTAGGACTTAAGCAGTGTACATGGATAAAGTCAAGACTGTGCGCAGTGCCATTTTTGTGCAATTCTGGGATGTTTTTTTAAGTGAAAATAGGTCGACGCGTACATGGATACCGTATATGTGGAATTCTTAAAAATTTGCGGCAAGCAATTTGCGATTCTGCACTTTCTCCCAATTTTGCACATAATCTTCATCATGATTAAGCACTTTGTTCCATAAAAGTTCTAACATAAGCGTAATTCGGCTAGCAGATTGTTAGAAAAAAATGTTGAGTTAAAAAAAAAAAAAAAAATACACGGCTTTTACTTTGTGAAAACACAAATGGCGTCCAAACAAAAACTAGCAGGTTACTGTAGCAGGGTTAATCGCAAAAAATCGCCAAGTTACCATAATCCAAAGATTAACCACAAAATAATAATTTACGTTTGTAAATATTTGAAAGATACAATTTCTCACACAGGTGTAACAATGACAGTGGATGTTTGATGTGGATGTTAAATCTTTGTTTCCAGAAGGGACAGAGAAGAGATATTGGGCTGATCTTTGCAGTATGGTAACAGGTAGTTTGGCGACATTTTGGAGGCGATAAAGGTTACTACCTAGGACTTTGGTAATAATGTGAGAAGTACTCAGTTCCGATTACGCATTATTTTGTGTGAGGGAAATGAGAGATCATGAGATATGTCATGTGACATTAATGGACGAATTACAGTTCTTTAATCGGAAAATGGGATAAATTTGGAAAAATTATTTTGCACAATCAAAAGTCATTAATTCGGACACCCATAATCCGGACCTAAAAGCTACACGGCGACGCATGCGCATAGGCGTTTACGTGCGCGCGTAAGACCTTTACGGCTGCAAATAAGCTTGTACGCATGCTCATAAAATGTTTACGCATGCGCGTTTAATGTATAACGGACGATGTAAGCTAAGCTAACGTTATCTAATTCAGTTAATGTTGCAGATTGCGTTGTTCCTTAATCTTCGAATTGGATCCGGATTATTATTTTTTGCAGACTGTTAGAGTAATTTTATAAAAGTAAGCTTAAACTTTCGATTATATCAAATAGAATTTCCGATATATATTTGTTAACATGTAAATTATTTTTTGCAGACTGTTAGAGTAATTTTATAAAAGTAAGCTTAAACTTTCGATTATATCAAATAGAATTTCCGATATATATTTGTTAATATGTAAAGGATCTAAAGCAAAAGTATGTTTCGAAATCCGAAATCTGTTTATCAATTTCACGCTGCTCGGCGGGGGGAACGCTGCGGCGCGCAGTGAATTGGAAGTTGATCTGTCAGCACTATCCTTATCTTCAGGGCAGATGTTTTTATTTTATTTGGCTTATAATTCCTTACCACATGTAGTATTTCATCTCGATGTACTCCGTATTTGAGTCTTTGATATGATTTAAAACAAGTTCCTCGTCATTATAATTCGCTTCCCATAGTGAAGAAAGTGACAGAGGTTATTGAAAACGAAAAAATTTCGATTGACAAATTAGTCGGTATTCTCGACACAGCAATTATAGGACTTAAACAGCGGAACTTTGTAACTAAACAAGAAATTATGTCTGTTTAATAGAATTAAAGAGAAAGTATTATCACATGAAACGAAGCAACTTAAACAACTTACATTGAAATAAATGTTTAATAAAGTAAACAAATAAATATTAAGCTTTTTCTTTTTGTAAATTTTGATACCCTTTAGATCATAATTGTTCTTTATTTCATAAATTATGGTTTCATATTTTTAATTTTGTAATTTCTGCATGCCATCTTACCAGATTTAAACTGATTATCTATAATCCGGAATCGCTGAAGTCCCGACGAGTCCGGATTGATGACTTTTGACTGTATTAAGCTTCATTGTGTGTTGTGTGAAATAGTGTTGATTAATTTTCGGATTGCATGGCGGTATGTAAAGTGAATTCTAAATTTTTAATGCGTTTATCTGATAATAATAATAAGTTGAGATTGTGTGAAAGGAAGGATATTACAGATAAGTTTGAATGGCGGTGCAAGAAATCTGGTGAAAATGGACATTTTGTGAAATGGAGTGTAAGGAAGGGTACGTGGTTTGCTGAGAGTAGTTTGAGTATGGGTGAAATTTTATTAATTTCTTATTACTTGGTGAAAAGACTGCCAGTTGACTACTGGATTTCGGATTTAGAAATTAGCAGTAGTACTGCAGCCGATTGGAACTCTTTCTGTAGGAAAGTGTGCGTGCCACGTAATGAAGATTCTGAAGAAGATTAGGTAAGTTAGTATTTTTTAATCATTTGAGGATATTATTTGGTAAAATCCTAGTATACGGAGCAGCCTTGGCGCGATTTTGAAAATTATCGCCAACACCAAAAATGACCCAAAGAACATCTATGTATATACTAATTCAGAAGTCAAACAACAAAAATCAGTGTTATATTTTCAAAATTTTCACAGGACTAGTTTCGATGGTTTTACCGAACCACCATCCTCAGCTTCAAAACCGCAAATGAACAAGATAGGAAATAATGATTAGGTAAGATAAGAAAGCCTGGACAAGAATAAGCAAGTGGCGTCATCTGGTGGTGAAACCAGAACTAAAACATAATTTCTTTAAAGGCCGAAGGCAAAGATGGATTGGAATTAGGATCGTTAACTAGAACAGAAAGATTTTTATGAATGTGAAATGCCTCTAGAAAATCCAGTTCTCTAATGGAAGATGTTTTTTGAATAATTTTGGCAGCAGAAAAACTGAAAGTGTGGTTTTCGGACCAACAATGTTGAGCAACAGAAGACTTCTGTGTTTCCTTTTTTCTAACATATGCCTCATGTTCCTTGACGCGAAATTTTAAGGCTCTCTTAGTTTGGCCAATGTAAATTAAACCACACTGGCAAGGAATCTTATAAATACCCCAGGAATTCATATCCAGAATGGGGTCCTTGAGTATGGAACTCGGAATTTTATTGATGGGAGAATAAACAACCCGAAAGTTAAATTTCTGCAAAATATGTGCCTTATAGCTAATTGATGGAAAGAAGGGAACGACAACAGAATTTTTTATAATCTCCTAAAACAAGAGTGTGCCTTTTAGTGTGTTGAGATGAGAATTTTTTAACTGCTTGATTAATAATGTTGGGTGGATAGCCCATGTCAATAGCTATTGCTTTTAAATAATTTAGTCCTTCATCAAGGGCTAGTTTGGAGGAGCAAACTTGAAGAGCACGGAAAACATAGGAATAAAATGAAGCTAACTTTTGTTTAGTCGGATGACATGATTTAAAGTGTGGTGGAAGGCAAAACCGATGAAGGTTTACGGTAACCGTAGTACTGAAGTTGGATGTGTTACGTGTAACCAGAATGTCGAGAAACGGAAGAGAATTGCAAGTCTCAAGTTCAAAAGTGAACTGAATAGCAGGATCAATAGAATTCATTGTTGAAAGAACTTTATTTAAATCATCTTTATTATTTATTTTTGTTGTTTGACTTCTGAATTAGTATTTATTCGGCGTGTTATTGTGTCTTAATCTATGTATATACTATAAATTATATACTATCACTATACATTATATATTATCACATAGTATATAATATGTATAACTATATATATTCTTTGAATGACCCGTTTACTACTCATCGTATATGTCCCGTTTTTACTGCTCATCATAAAAGTTGCCAAAAGTAGCTAAGTCCCGTGTGCAGCAGATACTAGGATTAAGCCTATTATTTTTATGCATTGTTCTAAATGTAAGGAGTAAATAAATTAATATGGTATTATTGGAAATTGTTATTAGCAATGATTTAGTTTAAAGTAATTAGGATTATAATCTAATTTTTTTAATTTAATGTATGTGCTTTTTATATTTAAGTAGTGTTTTTAATTTAATTATATTTTAATTTAATGATCGTCATTTTGTGAGTTATGTGTTTGTAGTATTTTGGAATACGTTTGAGTAGTATACGTTGAGTATTTTCATGCATTTTCGTTAAATTTTTCTAATTTATGACAAAAAAGCAGTGTACATGGATATAGTGAAGAGTGTGCGCAATGCCATTTTTGTGCAATTCTGGGATGTTTTTTTAAGTAAAAATAAGTTGACGTGTACATGGTTTAGTGATATTTAATTAAATGATAGTTATTTTGTGAATTTTATGTTTGTAGGAATTTGGTATATGTTTCAGTTGAAGTAAACCTGTTTTATAAGTGCCAGTTTTCTTGTTTGGGATGCTTGGTAGCTGCATTGACTTCCATATCTCCCAAGGAGGTTCAGTCACTGGTGTCCACTATTATAGAAAAGTTCTCTTATCTCATGTATACCTTTTTAGAGATGCTGTGTGTCCAGTCTTCTCTTCATGGCAGTGCTATATTTCATTGTGCAGTCACTATTGTAGATTTTTTTTTGAAAGTGAAGATATTTAATGCATAGATTGACTGGCAAGGTCCAAAAATCTAAATCTCGTAGAATAGGTACAAGACCTTCTAAGGAGATGTTTGGCTTGTCGATCAGCTGCTAGCAATGATTCCACAACTGAAATTGGCAGTATGAGAAGAATGGGCCATGATGCTTCAACAGCCTTGTCCTCAACATGGGCAGATGTAATTTCTGCGTCATTATCAGGAGTGATCATATCCCTTGTAGTATTGTGTGGCCCCAACTTGTCAGCAACCGTGGTAGTGACTGCTATGAACTGTAAATTTACACAAACACGTAAGAAGGGTTTCAAGCCCTTTTTATTCCACTTTAGAAATAACAGCTGCGTTCACTTGACGCTCACAAACTACGCCGACCCGGCGGTTTAACAAAACAGAAATGTGAAACTAAAAATTAATGACAGGATGAATAAACAACTAGATCACTACCTAGGAGGCTCTGAAATCATGACTAACCTAACCGCGCTCTAAAATACAGCTGAGATTCAGCGAGCTTACTGATTAAGCAGTTGAAAGATTCAACGAACTGCCGAGATAGGCACACCGGCCGAAACGCGCGGTTCTTAAATTTCTACCTAGCAACCTTCACGTTAGCGGTTGAAGAAGCACACTTACAAACTCGATTCCATTCTATTTAAACTCAACTTACTTCTGCTAAAATTTGAATATACTGTGCATTCTACTACAATTTACATACTCTGACATTGGCAATTCTAGGGGAAAGTAAAGGCTTGACAGGAAAGATAGCTTAAAATAAATGTTAATTAAAATAAATATAAACCCTACACACTTTCTAAAGACTGGATTTTTCATGCCAGGCTCTTGTGACATGGACATGTCTATATTCTGTTCAGTTGTACTCAGAGGTGTCTTTTCAATAAACTGCCATTTAGTCTTTTTTATTTCTTGTTTGGATGTTTTTAGTCAGTTGTCCTGTATTTTTACAGCATGGGGATCTTGTGCTATGATTAAGTTGGATATGGAACATTTCTGTATTGCATTTGAAAACCTGTCTCATCCGTAAATTTTACGCACCAATGTATTTAGTAAATATTTTAACTTAAAGCCACTTTGAAAAGAAAATATATTTTCTGATTTACTGTACTCCCACAGAAAGTTGCGAGTTTATTAGCATAAAAGTATTTATTTGTCTAATCTGATTTCTGATTATTCACAAAAAAAAAAAAAAAAAAATGACTAGTTCCTTGCCAATTTTGTGAACTGATGAAAATATTTGTCTCGTGTTATAACGGTTCACATTCTGTTGAAAAATAATTGTAATAAAGAGAAGCATTTTATGAGGGGAGGAAAAAAACAAAAATTTGTATGGTTAATATTTACCTTTTCACAATTCATGGACACTTTAGGAAAACGCTGGTTAAATATAACGCATATAAATCCTCACATAAAGAAGCACACAAGTGGTATGCATTAATATTAGAAAATATGCCAAAAATAACAATACTGCTATATGTTGAAACTGGGATATGGATAATCAGAAGGTGCTGAAACAATATATAAAAAACAAATCATGTGAGAGAAAACAAAAGTCGGTGCTTTTTAATTTTGCCGGTGCAAATCTTGCCAAGCAGACTTCATTGGCGACAACACACAGTATACACATAAAAAAAATTTAACAAATATTAGTTGTAAGAGTTTTCTTTGGGGAAAGAGACATTTTAATATTGTTTAAAATTTTTTCATATGAATCTTTCATTTCCCTTCTACAGAATAAATTCTGAAAAATAACTTTCCAGATGATGATATGCTGTTCCTCTGTGTTTCTTATTTCATTTGGCGCTACCGCATAATCTTTCTATTTTTTGTGGGTGCGTTCTACTTTCCGAATCAACAAAATGTTATTTTTGGTTCACTCTGAAATGTTCGAAATTTTCTTCTTTCAGTTTTTCACTGCAGTATAATTTCCACGAGTCCAAATATATTATAGTTCCTTTTTCGATATTTTCCTTAATTGCTTTTAATATAATGCTTATGTATCCATTTGGCACCTTAACCAGGAAACAATCATTTGTTTCATGGCAAACTCCACCAAAGATCCACTGTTTGGGTAGAATCCACCTTGCATTGTTTCTGCACTTCCTGAACATACTTTCAGCCACTTTGACGATAATACCAGGTCCTCTTATTTTCTGTTGTTGACATTTAAGCAAGGAATCCACACAAACCTCATTGCATGTAGTTATTCCTGTCCATAACTATTCCATGACTGATTTCCAACTGCTTTTCACACTATTTAACTGAAGTTAATTTTTCCCTCTAACCGTAAATAAACCTCACAGCCTTCGAGAAATAATTTTGATGACTCAAATGATGTGCCTTTCCCGATAATTCTTTTACTATGACAGTTTGAAAGGTTGCAGCACCACCAAATTTCATTTCATGATTATTATAACCAGTAGCAATTTTAGGCAAAATGCCTTTCACTTGAAAGAATCTGAGATTAACTTGAAAGAGTCTGGACAAAACCCAAATTTTCATTGGTTTTTGTCCATTTTTGTTATATTAGGAAAAAGATGTGACTGATAAGAAATGTCGCGAGTTGTTTTGAAAATGTAATGGTGAAAGGTTACCAGCGGTGATATTACGTTTGGCATCGGTTGTATCATTTTTGGCGACTTTATCGCCTGTGTTGACATAATAGAAACATACCCCAAAGTCTGTATTGGCAATTTTTACAGCTGGTGGATACTCTGCTGCTACTGCCCGATTCTTAAGACTATCAGATTATTATTAACATAATAGTATTGATTGATAAAAATTGTTGTCAAGGTATTAATGTAACTGAAACTAGCTTCTTTTCGTCTCCCTCCTTTCCACTGTATGGGAAAAAAAAAAAAAAAAAGGGAATATGAGTTAAAGAATTTAATACAAACTGCTTTAAAAATAATATCTTGTATTTAACATTTTTTTTAATAATTTGCAAGTTGTCTCCAACCATCTGTTCTATGCATTATTCAAGTATTTTAAGTAATGCCTTAATATATAGCTAGATAAACTTTTCAATATTGTGCAGAATTTTTTGAAATAAACTTTTATGTTTTAGAATTGAAGATTTTTCAGTGCTTCGAAATTTCATAACGAATAAAAGTAAATGCTGTTTATTTCTAGATTCGATTCATTGTCAGCGATAATTCATCTATGACTTTGAATTCGTGGTCTCAAGATCAACAGAATTTGAATCATGTAAGTATCTATCAATTTTACCAACAGAATAAAATTAAGTATTTTACTTGATCCTGTAGTTGGTTCCCTATCCTGTTTTCCTTCCTCCCCTCTCTTTTTCTTTTTTCACATGCTAGAATATAGTTATGTTAAGAGGCATTAATTTTACACTAAGTATTAAAAGTGAACTGATGCTAATGATACAATATTCCAAAGCCTTTTATGCATTATGTAACAATCACTGTTCATTTACATTGTAACAATAACAGGCTGTTACACTTGCTTGGTGCTGCTTGCTTGTGTTGCCCTCTGTTATCATTGACGAGAACTGCAGCAGCACATAAATTTTGTATGCCCTTAAAGATTATAATGACCTTGAAATTTGATCCTGGTTCTGTGTCATAATGCTATTCAAAAGGAGCTATTATGCTGTAGATTCTGGTATTTGAACTGCTTTGTAGTGTAAGCATTTGATTTGCTTTCAAGTTCACTACACAGTCACTCCCCAAGCGTTTTAAATGCAATGTGAGAAGATGTTATTGGTTGTGAATTGAGCCCAGTGTATTGATCAATGGGCTGAATGTGTGAGTATGCTTAGTTGGACCAGTTGTTGCCTGGTGGAGTGTGGTTGAAAGACCCAGGTCTTTACGTATGTGTGCTGTTAGGTTATGAGGTGGAGCAAGTGCAAAACAGCATGGTGGTGTGTGTGACATAGTTCATTTGTTCCAAGTGGGCAAAAGTGCATAGTTTTCAGGATCACTGTTGTAGCAATCGCAGGATGGTATGCTCGTTTGATACTACTCAGTATGCAGTTGCTAACTCTTGTTACCATCTGTTAGCACTGATGACAAGTGCAGCAGCACTTAAATTCTGTATGTTCTTGAGGATTATAAAGATCTTGGGTCTGTGACATGGCAGTCGAATGCCATACTGATACCATGACGAAGCTCTAGGTTGCTAGATTCTGGGGTTCAGTCTTTGTAGTGCGATCATTTGATTTGCTTTTGAGGTTTGCTAATTATATTAACAAGAAATTTTAAGGTAATTCGTGGGCTCTCTAGTACTTTCTAACAATGTCCTCATACCAAGAAAGTGTAATACAATTATTTAAATGTTCAAAAATTTTAGGCTGATTGGAGTCGCACAAAACACAGTTTCAGGAATCCACCTCTCTAATCCTGCAGAGGTGGTCTAGCAAACATTTGTGTCTGGTCAGATATTCTAAATAGAGCTACTGCTGTCTTTCTTGGAAAACTGGGACCGAAAATTCTGTCTTCCCTCACAATCCTGTATCTCTTATCCATAGCACACTGAAACATATCTTTATTAAGAATTTTCTTAAGAGTCAGGTTAACAAACAATCTAGCTGTATGAAAAGAAAGAGGTCGGTTAATGCGTTGCATTATAAAAGTTACAATGTATCAACATTTTTGTTGTCCATAATTCCACAGTGGACTGGAATCCATCATAAAGAAATTCTGTGTGTCATTACCTTAAGCATAGGCCTGCAGTCTAAGATTCTTTGGGAAATATTTCAATTATTCCTTGATGTGCTTTTTTGAAATCTGACAATGTGACAGCCGGTACAAAAGAGTGGCTACGAATCGACAGTTGTTGAATAGCCATAGCAATTTCCCATCAAAGGCAGCCCACTGGTAAGTAGAAACTAATAAGCTCGCTATGGATACCTGCTCCAGCACTGCGCACTCTCTCTAACATAGAGCCATCAGTATAGGCATGCAGTCACTCATTTTGAGGATAGCTAACCTCACTAGTCTTCATTGCAATAGATCTTAATTGTGAAATGCTCATTTTATTTTTAACTGCACTTTGTATAATATCAAGATTTATATTCAATTTCAAAAAGTCCAAGGGACAATGTGGAAGAGGTAAAATTAGACAATCTCAGCTCAGTTCCAAAGCATCAGATTCTCTCCGAGTAGCCTGGATAAAGCCAATTTGAGTTCTAAGGTTTCTAGAAATTTCATTACTATAGTTCCTACTAAAAGAGTTGTCCAGCAAACTCATAAGCTTCTGGTACAATGGGACCACTGTTCTCTTAATAAAATTATGAACAGGTTCCAAATCGGTTGGTTAAAAGCTGTATTGTAATAGATCACATTCCCGCAGTGATTATGCGTAATGCTTGGTTCTGGAAGACTTAGAGAATCTGGGCTACATTCTACAGAGTCTTGATGAGGATCTTGCTGCAATAACCAATAACTGATTGAACGTATAATTTCTAAGTAGTGATCACTGACTTTCTGTCACAGCCCCATCTTGAGCCAGCCAAGCATTTTAAGACAGAGAATTTCCTCGTGGCTTTATTTTTCACATGTTCCACACGTTTCTTCCAATTTAATCATGCACCCAAAATGTAATCCAAATATTTAGTTGAATCATTATGTTGAATATCTAGACCCTTATATGGTCAAATTCAGAGTAAAACGTTGTCTTTTCAGAGTGAAGAACTGGCATGTGCTCTTATTCTGATTTACTCTCATACCATTTTTTTAGGCACCAATACTCGGAGTTTTTAAGAAGTAAATACTACAAAAAAAATCTAAAAGCTAATTAATGTCCGGGCAATTGTGCATTAATGTAAAGTTATTCTGAAAAAGTAACTATCAGAACGACCTTTCATTCAACTGGTGTGTGAACAAACATGTAATCATTGTGCCCTTAGACTGCTTTCAGCTGTCACACAAATAAAGGTTTTTAGCCCAAAGGGTTGTTATTCTTAAAACAGCATTTTGCATAATTTTACTTTCTGCATTGATTCAAACTGTTTTCTGATTCAAACTGACTTTTCAAACTGTTCCCCCAAATTTTATCGCCATGTATTATATTTAAAGAAACTAAATAATGAAGAATCTGTGTGAATGTTTCTCGCAATGTGAAAAAACAGCGGTACGTAGAAAACCATGAAATTTTGAATAACGTAAAACGTGGGCACTTGGAAGTTCCAATTTTGAATTTCAATTTTATTTTATTATTTATTTCAAAATTTGTAGAACTTTTAACAAATTTTTAATAAACGAACTCGTCGCAACACTGTACAGAAAGAAAAAAAAAAAAAAAAAACATTTTTATCTCCATTGGAAATTCTAAAGATATGCTTTTTTAACCCGGCGGAAGTCGCACCAGGAAAAGTTACTAGAGTGGGCGTGTGGGGTATCACATACCCCAATATTTAAAATATTATAAAATAGTATTATTTAGTTTTAAAACTTTTTTTTTTTTTGTTTTGTTTTGTTTTTTTTTTTTTTTTTGTTCTTGTGTATTATAAATACGTGAATAATAATTGGGTTTCAAAAAATTAATTTCCGAAATAATCTTAGAGTTAAAATTAAGATAAATGAAAATAATAAAAAAAATAAACATCATGCCTCTAAGTTTCATTGCATCTCTAATACACTATGCTTATTTTATTTTTTCACACTTTGAATGAAATACATTCATTTGTTCTTGGCGCAGAATGTTTTCACATTTTAAACATTGCATTCACGTTCTTCTGTCCTTGGCGCGAGGGCAAAAAATTTATCACATCTTTCATACTTAGTTGTTTTGAATTTCATGTATTCGTTTTAATTCTTCGTCAAAACTTTTGCTTTTGTTTTGCATGCAGTACGTCAATTTCTTGGAAAAGTATTAATCTCTGATTCTTTGTTCAATACATTTTTTCATAAATTGTTATGAAAAAGTCCTTCAAAAACAGACTTCTGTTTCTGGTTGGTGGATTAGCAGTTGAATGTAATATAATTCCAACTTTTATTACAGCAACATTCAGTGCAGGAAAGAAAATTACCATTGGGCAGTCCTTGTTATTCTGGCAATTGAATAATTGGCTGACATTTCATCCCCCATATCCACTGCTCCTTTATTCATATTATTAAAACATATATTTTCTGATGTTTTATTTTCTCCCGTAGTACCATCTATAGTATGATCGTTACATAATGTTGAAAGCATAAGAACAGTTTTTCCTTTTTTAGGAACATCATTAATTAATGTTTTATCTTTTTCGAAACCAAAACATTGTAGAAAATATTCTTAGTTTCATCTTCAGTTTCCGAAATGCAATCTTCATCGCTTTCAAATATTTCTAATAAATCTCACATGCGTTGCATCTCCAGTTCATAGGGAATCGTTCTTTTTACCATAATGCAGTTAGAAATTTTTAAGAATTTAATGTCAAGTACTTTAAAATCACTTGCGAGTAGAAATATTTACTGTTACACTTTAGAAATAAATTTCTGAACTAAATATTCAGTCAGAAAAACACTTACACGGACAGGCGCGTGGGGTGTGTCATACTCCAGTTCCAACAAAATACTGATAAATTGTTTTCTGAAACACACAGGCAAAGAAAAAGCGGTTCTGAAAGTTAACCACAACTAGAAACTCAGCTACTGAAAGCAGCACAGAATTTCAGTTTCACAAGTTAGGAATATTCCACTTTTATGTAGGGTTGGGGTATGATACACCCCACGTGCTTTCCCGCGGGTTAAAATTATTTTGCGATATTGCCATTTAATTGAATTTTATGGTTGAAGTGTGAGGACTATAATAGTTAACAAATAAAGGTAGCACACAAAACATTAAAAAAATACCCCTTTGGGCATAATATGAAATCTTAGATTTATGATACTTTTTTTTTAATAGTCTGCACAATCAGGTAGAATCGAAAAGGCTTTTGAACAACGAAGATGCTAATTTTTAGCATAATTAAATATGTTAAGTTCTTTTTTTTTTTAATCCTCACTTTTTCCCTGCCCACTTTGTGGCCATTATTTAAAAATTCCAACATCCACAAATAAAGCTATTATAAAGTTTTGAATTTTTTCAAATTGTATAACAAATTCTTTGCTCTCTTCTAAAATCAATATATATATGCATTTATATACAAGTTCTATTTCTAATATTATTGTTTTTAAGCTAGTTGATTGTGTAACTAGCCTTCATACTAGCATGCATAATGTACCAGATTAGTTTGGCCATGCAAACGGCTAGTAATTGCAAGATTTCAAGTATATTTTTTGTTTGAAATAACTATCAAATCTTTACAGTTAATGGCTGCACTTGCTGATGTAGGGCCTCCTAAGTCAACTAATAAAGATAGCAATGTGATCCATGGTCTAAATGCTGCCATCAAAGCTCTGTGCGAGTGCAGTGAAATTCAACATCAAAAACGAACATCTCTGACAGAAAATGCTGGCAAGGTAGTGAATAGGGGCAGAGTTATTTGTTTCACCAATGTGAAAAGGTAAGATTCTATTGGAATTATTTATTTTTCTACTTGCTTTATTTTAAGTAACAAAATGCTCTTATTATTATTTTTACTTTACCTTCAATGAATAAAATGTTCAAATGATTGAAATGTATTCATTTGTTTTAGTTTATAAAATGCATGACTGTGTCAAGAAAAGTCCTTATTCGACCTTTATTTTCGCAATCGCTGATTACAAATGTATACTTCCAGTTACAAAAATGTTTTAAATGGCACAAAGATTCAGGTTTTCATATTTTTAAATTGAAAAATATTAAGATACTTAGTGTTATCCTATTTTGTGTGAAATTTGGCAACCATTGAACTGTGAAGGTCAGAGAAGATTGTGCCATCATTCTTGCATGATTTTGAAGGAACTGACACCTCTTTTACTTAATTCACAAACAGTATTCGACCTGTTTTGTTTTTGCACTTTGTGAAAAGACTTAATTCCTACTATTTTATTAGGTCCTCCCATTTGACCAGAAGCTCTATTTAAAATGATCGACACGTTTCCCACAGATAATTGTTCCTTGTGGCCATATTCAGCTTACCGTATAGCGTCCATTAATACTCACTTACTTCACTTTTACCACTTCTGGGTAGGATCCCAGAACTTCGGAAATAAGCCGTTTCTTGGTGTTCTGTAAAATACAGGTCTTTTATTTTAATCAAGTTCTTTAAAATAAAAAAAAAGCAGTAATAATTTATATCCTTGTTCATAAAAACAAAAAGTTGCATAACAAGAATCAGTTGGAGTTAAGTTGGATCAAATTGCATTAAAAAAGGACATTTGTTATGAATGCCTTGTTGTATTACGCCTATCCATAACTGATGTTTATTCATGCTGTTTAGCTATGATTTTGTGGTGAGTTTGGTAATACATAAGTACCAAAATGAGTTTTGTATAAAATACAAAAGGAACTACTCTGATATGCGCCCTCAAGTCGCCAAATATTTATGGCGAGAAACTTTACGCTGCCATATTACTATCTAAATTTTTTGTCTACATTTTGAACTTTTAGCCTAAAATGTCTCCAAAAACGCGGTTTTCGCACATGCAAAAACTACGTTTGGAACACACAATTTAGCTAAAAATCCGAAACAAAAACAAAAAATTTAGATACGAAAAACGTAAAGTTTCTAACCAAAAATATTTGACAAGAATCCATGTACACAGCGACATGTTTTAACTTAAAAAAACATCTACGAATTGCACAATGTAGGCAACGAACGAATCTTCAAACTACGCACACCTCGCTTTAATAAATTAACATAACAACAATAAATTTCAAAGAATACCATGTACACAGCATCCTGTTTAAACTTAAAAAAAATTCTACAAATTGCACAATTTAGGCAAGGAAGGAATCTACGATCTACGCACTCCTCGCTTTAATAAAATAACATAACAACAATAAATTTCAAATAATACCATGTACACAGCGTTCTGTTTCAACTTTAAAAAACATCTACGAATTGCACAGTCTAGACACTAAACAACAAAATAAACTAAAATAAATTTCAAACAATTTAAAAAAACAACAATAACAACAGAAATTCATACTAAAGAACCAATGAACATAACATTCTACAAAATAAAAACAAGGATAAAATAAAATGCACTTACCATGAATTAATGCGTTTTCAAATAACAGAAACATAAATTTCATACCGCCTTTAACATGCCGCCACGTAATCACTATCGTATTTACATGACAGCCAGACACACTATCCAGAAAATTTATACTATGGTTCACAAATAAATAAAATCACAAATCCCTACTTCTATCATGCACTGCCATTAAAAATAATCTTCCAGACCCTTTTTCCACACTTCCATATACCCACTACCCCTCAACAGGATAGCCACAATGATATTTCCTTTTGCCGAACTTCAATTCAACAACTACCATTTTATATTTCCCTCCCATCTTCTCAGACACAGAGGCGAACCAACGAGCTCCAGCGAAAGATTTTTCAACGTCAACAGGGTTGCCATAGAACACGCAATCGCACCAAAAACCAGCGCAGAACACGTCGCCACATTTGGTGAAATTAGGGCGTATATTAGAGTTGTACCAATACAAAATTTAACTTTATACACATTCCTGTACTTATATTTAGGACAAATTTTTGTTTATTATAAAAAATAAAATTAAAAATGTTTTACTTAAAGTATCCCGTACCTAAGTTGCCACATCAATGCTTACTTGCAACATCGTGGATTGTTACTTAACTGTTAGGGTGCTATACTGCATTGCCTTATGAGTATTTTTGGGGGAACTCTTCTGTAATTGGGACTGTATTCAAAAATATATATGTGTGTATATGTTACCGTGAAAGATCGAAATTGGAGAATGTCGACTTTCACCTGAGAATGTCAACATTCACCAAATACATCGGTGAAAGATCGACTATTTCTTTACATTCTTATACATTCGGACCCTCACCGGTGTATGTCGACAATCACAGATATGCTCTGGTGTAGGTCGAAAAGAGAGGAGTATATGTACACTCTGCCATTTCAAAAGGAAGTGTTCCACAAATAAATGCAGTTGTAAAAGCAAAGGCCTCTTGTGCAATTCAAAGTGTCATAATAGTTTAAGTTGTTGCAATAAATAAGATTTGAATCACAATTTATTTTATAATAATAATTTGGTAAGTTTATAACTTCTATTATTTTCCTTTCTCTTGTTTTGAATGTACTGTGTGTTTTAAGTTCTTATTCTGAGTCTCAAGTGCGTTTTTTCGTGAGTGAATTACTGAGAAGGAAATATAATATTCTTATATGTTCAATATTCACCATTAGTACATGGTGAATGTCGACATTCACCGGTGTAAGTCAGAAATAAGAGTATTTTGGAAAATATTTCGGACATACACCAAGTGACTACGTGAATGTTGACATTCACCAGTGAAAGTCGACATTCTCCAGATTTCAGTGTTTCACCGTAACATATACACATATACATATTTATGTACATGCATACATGAACACATGCATCTGTACATGTATGCATTTCTACATCTGGTCTTAATAACAGAAGAGTACTTTTTTTCCCCGGCTGTTTGGTAGGGTTGCAGTTAATCAGAAAATACCATTCAGCATTTTTAGATGTAGGAAATCCTTTTTATTCTTTTCTACTATTTTTACATCTCACTAAAAATATAACCGTTAAAATGTTGTTGTAATGTTTTAAAAGAACCAAAAAGTAATTTGTATAGCAATGATTTAAAACTATAATAGTTAAGTACAAGTAATTAGGTTCTTTTTTTAACTAATTTTTAAAACTTTTATTTTAGCTAATAGTGCTCTGCTTCATGTATAATTTTCAAAAATAAAAATTACTTTTTAATAATTTAAAAAATAGAAGTGCTGTTTAGTGTTGTACTTACTGAACCAAGTACCCATAAGGGTAAATAAATCAAAATTAATTAATTGAGACTGTTGCTTTACTGAAGAAAAAATTAAATTTTATCCAATCTTTCTCAGTTCATTGACTTTATAATAACAAAAGCAGCCATAGTGCATTTTAAAATAAAATTTTTCTCTATATAAAAATCTATTGATGTAATTATGAGAAATGGCATATTCTGTATTCTAAAATGTATATTTGTATTCCAAGTTAGCTTGAAATCAGATTTGCGCAGTAACTTATGTTATCAATTATAATATAAAAATTGCTGTAATAAGTTATTGTGATATTACAGATGATTAAAAATATGAAATTCCCTGAGCTGGTTGATTAATTTATTCCTCTAATCCTAGTAGGTTGAATTATGCCCTCCATTTGTCTCATAGTAAACCTCAAAACAATTTCCATCATGTTGTTCAAAACACTGTTCTATCAGCAGGCATGCCATGCAAATGGATATGATTTTAAGGTGTGCTGTATAAAATGGGAGTGCATGTTGAAATTCAGTTGTGAGATAAAAGCTACAAAGATTTCATTAAATTATGTTTGACCATATGTTTGATTATAAATCTGTATTACTGTATGTATATGTAGCAGAGTGTAGTTCATCTTGTAACATAAGTGAAAATATAAAAAGAATCCTTAGCTTCTTGGCCCAGGAAAAGAAAAGGAAAATAATTTTCTGGATGATCCTGAATATAAACACAAGTGTCAGATCTGAAACTGTATTAGGAAACATTTGTTCTTATCCTTAGGAAATCAGGCAGCAATAATAATGATCATGTGGATGCCACTACTTCTCACCAAATGCTCAGGATGACACCATATAGTCTTTAACACCAGGATAGTGCTGGAGCAAGTATAGGACTGCCATCCTCAGACATAGCTTAATTGATGGCATTTAAATATGATAAAAGTCAATAACGCAAAAGGTGTGTGAAGCAGGGAATACTTCCTTGATATATCTTGACCTTCTACTGTTTCTTAAGCTTTAAAAACAAAAATTATGGTGTCATTTTAATCTCCTTAATGTATAGGAAATGCAGATTTATAACAATATCTTTTGAGGATTACCGTAATTTTCAGTCATCATTATTCTTTCATATACGGTATCCCGTTGCAGCTATAATTTAAAATTCTGCTTTTTTTCCCGTGTACTGCTTGTATAAATAGCACTAATTTTTGGTGACTCTGTAGAAAATTACAACCAAAGCAAGCAACATGCTATATTTATTAACATAACATTGTTTTTTTGAATGTTCAACACTTATACAATTAAACTAATTTAAGGCTGTCGAACTAATTTCATGCAATTTTGCAACATTACTTCATGTTGCTAAGATCTCCTTTCCTTGCTTACTTTTTTAAATTTTAAGTCTATATTAGTGTTAAAGTTTATAAATTTGAATTGAGTTCATTACTTAGTAAAAAATGGTTTCATTTTTATATCAACATTGTAATAACTATTAATTGCTACTAAAATGTAGAATAAGAAAACCTTAGATGAAAAGTAAAATTATTTTCAATTATGTCAAAGATTGTACAGTGCCTGTAATGCCATCTCTTCAGTTAGTTTTTACAAGGAGTCATTTATACAACATTAGATATTTCCCAGAAGCAAGATCAACTCACCTATGCAGGTTAGGCAAAAGTCCACTTTGAAGCATCATTAAGATGAGCTGAGCTCATTTGGGTATTTTATAGTGTACACTTTAAACATAAACTACATAACATAAAATGTTTGTTTATGTTTATGTTATGTTATGTAGATGTTAAAAACGTTTATGTTAAAAACATAAACATTTTTTATTGTTTGACTTCTGAATTAGTATTTGTTTGGCATGTCATTGTGTTTTAACTAATAAACTAACTTTTGTATAACTAAAGGGTTAGTATTGAATATTTTGGATAGAAGTAATATTTCCTTAATGGAATATTAAAAAATTATCCACAAATTCAGAATTCTAATAGCTTTATGATTCTTTTGAAATATTTATGTTTTAATAATGTTTGCATTCTATTTTGATTTAGTGATCTGGAAGTAAATTCGCTACTAGAATGTTTTGAAGAAACCTTAATAGAGCAGAATAAATTGGCATCTAGTTCTGACAGGTGCTATAATCTTTTCAATCATATATTTCTAGATATGTCTTAGGAAATGAATAGTTAACAGAAGAGAGCATTCCTTTACTGTGTTTATAGAAATCTAAATTGAATATAATACAAAGTCCAAGATCCAAAATATCCTAAACTTTGGCAATTCTCAATTCTGGATTTTATATCTTTAGTTTAAACCTAGTGAAATGGCATACAGAAATTGCAAAATTCGAAATATATTTTAGTTTTTTAAGAAAAGGTACTTTAAATAAAGAAAAAATTTTTCTGAATAACCACTATATGAAATTAAAATGCGATTCAAAGCTATAATTGCAATATTTTCTGTACCATACTACAGATATCTGTCATTCTATTGATTGATGATTAAGGTATTGTCAGTGCAATGTAAGATTTCAGTTATGTCATCTTCATTTTGCATTTCTTCTTACTTATCTCATTAATTGAAAAAGTTTTTTTTTCCCCTTTGTTATATCCTAAAACCTTCAGATTTGTGACTTTCATCATCATCATGAAATATGATAGTTGTCTACATATTATGCCAAGTATTTAAAAAATATCTGCAAACACATGCCTTGATGATCTTGCAATGTCCCACACATCAGATTTTATATTAAAATATTTCTAGAATTCTTGAATGGTCTTATATTCATTAAAGTTTAAATTAGTTTTTAAGTTTTTATTAGATTAGTTAATATTAGTTTTTAAAAGTTAGTTTTTAAAAAGTTATTAAATTATTTAATTAAGTTAGTTAAAAAGATTTAGTTTTTTTAAAAGATTAGTTTTTAAAAAGTTATTATTATTAGTTTTTAAAAATATAAGTTTATTAGTTTTTAAAAAGATATTTTATTTCTGCATTTCGTTGCTTGCAAAATTCTGATATCCATTGGCTAATTGACATAAGTAAAATTTTGAGAAAGGAATGAAATGGGAATATTTTTATTTACTAAAACTCTACTTTTTGATAAGACTAATAATTATGGAATGGAACAAAGTAATAAACTGCTTTAACTCAGAAAGTTAAAAGAAAGAATAAATTTACTATGTGAACTACCCTTAAATTTCTTGGAATCTAGTTCTTTCTTCCTTCCCTGCCTGTTATGCCTACAAAAGAAAATGGTATGAGCCAGATCCCACTACAAGGAAGTATGTTCATGGCTAACGTAACTTGATATATTGTCATTATCCACAGTGTGAGTCCTTAGCCAGCAAGTGTTTGAAAGGGATATGCAAAAATTCAGAAGGTTGGGGGAAAAAAATCACCTTAAATGACACACTTTTTCTTGAGTATTATATTGTGCAATTCTAAACTTTGCCTGGAATTCTGGATGTTAAATCAGTGCAGATGTTGGATATCTGGATTTTAGACTTTGTATTGTATTTTCTTCTGTAATTTAATGTATTTTGTGCATGCTTTTATTATAATTTCAATGAAAAGTATGAAAAAAAGTTAAATATTTTCACAAAGAAGATAAATTGCAATACAGATTAAGTAAATGCCTGTGGTACATATGAGAAGCTTATGGAAAATAAGTAGTCTGGTAAATAATCTCAACTCTTAAGTATATGTACATATAAACATAATGTCAACAAATATAATACTTTTTTGTTATCACGGTATTAAGTGAAAAGAGCGAGTTCTCTCCTCCTAAAGCTCTTATTAATAAATGTATTTTAATTATTTTTAATTTTTAATGAATCTGAATTGAAGTTATGAAACAGTATGTTCTTCAAGTAAAAAATAAAAAAATGCTAATAAAAAAAAAAAAAAAAAAAAACTAAAAAAAAAAAAAAAAAAAAAAAAACTTTAAAAAAAATTTAAAAAACAAAAAAAAAAAAAAAAAAAAAACAGAATTAGAATTAGGAAAAGAAACAAACCTATTTTGGCATAAGTTTTAGATTGATAAAGTTTTATTTAAAATGTTTGCCAAAATAGGGTTGCTGCCTAATTTTAAGTAAAGCAACTTTTCATTATATTTGAAATTTGCACATTTCAGATTGGGGTAATTAAGTTTGCCAGTTATGACGTTAAATGCAGTAGCATGTCTGCTTTATAGCTATATACCCTAAAAACTATGTATTTTTTCCCCTTTAATATTAGAATAATTTCTTCAAATGACCATTTGTAACATAAAGTATGCGTAAAATTTGTATTAATTTAGTTTGACACATTTCATTGTGGCAATGGCACATCTCCGTTCTAACTCTTGCACTAAGAGTTCCTCTCTAGTGCTAAAGTTACAACAAATGCAGATTCCTTTAAAACCTTTTATTATTATTATTTTACTTTATACTCTTAGATGGCTATCTCTTCCTACAACAATGATAAATAATAATCCGTATAATGATTTAAACATAAAAAATCATAAATCTTGCTTAAGTTTAGAATTTTTTTAACTTCAATTTTTGGAACAAGGCATTTCACATAATGCAGGTTGTCATGTACATGTTATGCACAGATGCCTTGTTTCTCATTGAATTTGGTGACAATTCCAAGCAACCATCAATTAAACACGTGTCAACACTACTGTGTTGACAGAGGTTTAATTGGTATTGTGCCCAAGGAATGTTGGCCTTCCAATACATATGATGCTTCCTGTATGCAACTGTTATCACATCTTCTTTGGGGATATATTTCTTGTTTGACTGCCAAGCTTCTTCCTTATTGCTAAAGGGCCAAAACTTTGGTAATAGCTCGAATCAGTCTCTTGCCATTGTGTTGCTAATACTGAATCAATTGACCAGCATTTTTTAAGATTAGATTTCTTGGTAAGTCCTAAAAATTTCTTGATTTCTACAACCTCATTTGGTTTCCAATGATGTACGAATTGTTTCTGCTGTTAATCCATGAATACATTGCTCCATGTACCTTTTGGTTTCTGATGCAATGGTTTGCATGTGACAAATAAATGAAAAATTATGTTGACTGCAAGGAGACCGAGAGGCTGTGAGACATTTCGCATGCATTATGCTAGTGCTACCCCCAAAAATATAATCATTAGTTGTGTCATTCCCACAAACTTTATGCCATACATATGATGTTGAAGCTATTTGAAAATCATCAAATTCACTTTTACTACTTTCTAAAATACATCCCATTCTGTCAACAAGCCTGAGGCACGCTTTTTCAGATAAATTGAGATATTTTATTGCCTAGTCAACTAAAGCTTTCATTTACTCATTTTTTCTCCAAAAATGTAAAATGTATATAAAACTCAATGTAAAAAGTTGTTCGGATATGAAGACTGCACCAAAGCTCTAAAAACGTATTAGCGCCATCTTGAACCACCAGTGGCTGAGCAGTAAAGTCACTGAGCACTGATAGTTCAGTCTAGAGTTTAAATCCTGGTGAGTGGGCTGCATGGGCGTTTTTGCTATTTCCCCCATGTGTAATGTGTACATGAGCCAGTTTCAAGTTCTTCACAAAGGTATCCCTTCCCTTATGCAGATAGCTCTCAAGTGGTTTGCCATAATCAAACCAAACAGATTGTGCCATCTTGTAGAAATTTTGTGAAAACATAATAATATGGACTGTGATGTGCTGCAGAGTTAATTAATAAGGTCACTGGACCTGCTACAATAGAAAAACATTGGTATTGTTCTGTTATCAAGACTGGATTCAGGAATGTATGTATACAAATACGTATGGATGTATTTGTGTATATATATATATATATGCACATACCAAACATTTCCAAAACATTGTATAGAGGATGAGTTGTCTCTTCCCTAGTGCATGGCAAATAATCTTAAAAGATGAGATATGTCGGCAAAAGTGTTAAAAAATTTAAATCTATCTTCAGCTATCATTAATTATTTTAATATATTAAAGTTTATTTCACAAATAAAAAATAGTAAAAGTGATTTCAGTCAATCAATCAATAAAAATATTTTCTAGAATATTATGATTCAGACATTCATTAGTAAAATGCAACAAAATATCTGCAGTGAGGTTTAGTAAACTGTTTTCTAGAATTTCAAAAAATTTCATGAAGATAATTATACTCAGTATAACTAAAAGTTTAATAATATTTATAGATTCTTGGAAAGAATATTTGATACAACTTTTTCCATGAAGCTGTATATGCTCATCAAACTATAAATCACAAATATTACAAAATAATTTTGTTGATTCAGCTCAAATATGCTCACTGAAAATATTGAAAATCTATGTGATTGTATGAAATGGCATAACAAGAAGCGATGAAGTACCACAAAGCAGCATTTGGATATATCTGGTTGTAATGATAGTTTTCCGCCAAAAAACTTTCTTAATAAAGTTAGGAAAAGAAAAACCCATGTGAAAGTAGTACCTTTAGTGTTGGTAATGATCACCACCCAAATCTTTGATTTTCTGCCAATATTTTGGTAGTTTTTCAAAGCCTTTGGCCCAGAAACTTGCGAGTGGTTGCGAGTCTAAAAACAGATCAACCTCAGTTTGGTCGTTTGTGTAGAATGGATGATAGCACCAGCAAGATATAGCTGCAGGTGTGAAAAAGGTAGAAGTTCAAAGGAGCGATGTCGGGGCTATATGGTGGGTGTGGCAAAAGATCTCATTTGAGTCCATACAGAGTCCACCCAGTCAATGCAGACACATGTGGTCTTGCATTATCTTGATGGAATGTGGTCTATCTTTTATCTTTTTGTACCAGAATTCAGTTCGACATTTTTCCACGATAGCAGTCTTAACATGGACTAGCATCTCGCTGCAAACCTTGCTGTCAAGGGTATTTATCTTTCTACAGATACTCTTTATAAAAAATCACACCAGATATAAAGCATGATCTTTTTCTTAGTGAAATTGCACTTTGTGATGCTGCTGACGGGCTCACCGGTGCAGACCAACCCTCTTTTTGTTATGTGTTGTTGAAATAAATCCACTTTTCATCACAAGTGACAATCCAGTCCAGAATTTTGTTCTTGCATTGATATCTGAGAAGATTAGTTGAGGCCCAAACATGTCTGTGCTTATCTGCTTGAGTCAGCTCGTGCAGCACCCAGTGATTGAACTTGTACATTAAGTTTATGCGATGCATAGCGTGACTGATGGACATGGTTTTAAGGTCTAACTCCTCAGCAACTTAACGAGTGGCTGCATGCTGATCTTCTTTCACAAGTTCTCGCAGGTATTCCTCATCACATCAGTAGGCCAATCAGAATGCTGTGCTTCTTGAATGTCATAGTCCTTGTTTTTTAACTTTCGGTACCAAACCTTCACTTTGTCATATGATACTGTGTCTCTGTACACATGATTTGGTAACATTCTGTAGCTGACCTTTTGCAACAAAACTGGAAGTAAATTATATTCTAATCTGGTAGCATGATAGGTTCATTTCAGACACCTTGTAGTTAATGATAACAACATTTTTTTTTTTTTTTTTTTTTTTTTTTTTTTTCAAATTTCACAACACAGTGTTCTAAAGCAATTCTATTTCTTTCAAATGCCAAAAATTGTTTTACAAAATATAATTAAACACACCAACATGAACTATTTGTGCAGACGATATTTGTGGTCATAGGAAATTTTTGTTAAAACCCAATATATTTAGCAGAGTTTCTGTTACATAAACTCTTGAGAGAAAAATATCCTTTCAATGCAGTTATGGTACTGTTCTGTTATGCAATTATGATGCAGTTATGGTGTAGTAAAATAGTGTTTCCATCAGAAGCAATCATTCACAGACTGTTTTAGAGTATTTCATTTTTTATGTAGAACTGTATGTAACAGCGAAAATGTAAGTTGGTGCTTTTCTGTTAACGAGAGTCTGCAATTAGAATTGTGAAAGTTGACAATAGGTTGGTGGTGTCTTTCTGTTTGTAATGCATATAATCAGAAACTGCTGATATTTTCCCTCATAAAATTTCTTGGTTCTTATAAAATACTTCTTTCTGTTACTGTTTATGAAAAAAGCATTACTTGTGAATCATAAAAATAGTAAATGTTTTTTGCCAATTCACAAAAATCATAATGAGTTGAGACTTTTTATAGGAGTGGGGATTCGAAAAATGCCATGAGATATAATAATTTTAATTAATGTCATTTTAATATGCTGATTGAATGGAGATGTTCTGTTCAATTCCTGTAATATTCAATTCCAATAATATTTCATTGCTTATGGTTAACTTCAGAAATTCATTTTATTGTTATGCTTATTATTTCCAGTTTAATGACTATTCAGCATTGTGAACTAGTAATGATGCATGTATATCCTGTTAACAAAGAAAGTTGTATTGCTCATCAACCTAAAAAAATGGTAAGCTGAAGGAGTAAGGACTTTATTATCATCATCATTTTTTTTAAAAAAAGGTATTTTGCATTTTTCGCATTAAAAATTTATTTGGCCTTTTTGTATTTATTTAACATCTTAAAATGAATACCTATATATTCTTAAAGTGGTGAAATCCTGTGTTCATATTTTATATCACAGTTTATGTGTCAGTAAAATAGATGTCGCTATAAATAAACAAAATTAAACATATTGTATGATTAGGTAGCTATTTATTTAGAGCAAAAAGATATAATTTTCAATGTACTGTAACTGCCTTTTAAAAAACACATTTTTGATAGGTAGCAACAAACTTTTCTTATTTTTCTGGAAAGGGTTTTAATGGGTAGTAGAGTTATTGTTTTATTGCTTTGTGAAATGATATGCCCTTTTTTTGTTTTTTTGTTTTGTTTTGCTTATTTACAGTAGATGCAACTTAATGTATTCACAATTAATGGTACTATTCAGATATTATGAAATTATCAAAGTCTCACCATTTGCATATGAAAATATGAAAAATATATTTCTTATTGTGATCAGCCGCTTAAGTTAATCTGTTTAAAATATTATAGAATAAAATTTTTAAACTGAAGGAAGGTCACCAAATGAAATCAAAATTATAAAAATTGCTAAGTAAGAGCTTAAAGGGTTTCAGTCAACCATTTAAAATTAAGCCAAAAAGCACTTGTAGTTTGATGTAGATTTTGAATCACTCTATATGTTTTGAGAGCTATCAGACACAGATCCCTCTTTTTGAGGAATAAGGAAAGTTTCTACAGTTTTTTTTTTTTTTTTTTTTTTTTAATCCTGGGGAAAAAAAAAATTCTCCAAAATCATCAGTACCAGACTAAAGTTGCTTTTTTGCCTGATTTTAAATTTTACACTATCATGTTCTGTTTCCATGAGGGTTACCTTCTGAATGTTAGGGGTATGATATAGCATCGATCAAATAATTTCCAGAAATGAACTTTTGCACTAAAAGACATCATGAGCAGTTCATGTATAAACTTTTATATTTTATTAATTAAAATGCTATAAAAGTACATGCTTATATATTTCTAGTTATATTACATTGGTATTTTGAAGGATATTGTATCTCATCATTTAAAGTTATCTTTCAGTTAATATTACCAAAATAGCCGTGGAGAAACAAGATCACGTTAAGAGTCAATTACTGTATTAATATGTTTTTTTATAGTTTGCCAAAGATATGTAGTTAGCTAGTTTGTAAGTAGTAGTGGGTAAATACTAATTTTGATTTTTTAGCTGTTTGGTATGTAGCTTTAATTTGCATTATTTGTAGGGAAATCTATTACATAAAACAAAACTGAACTGTATTATCTATTTTCACTCCCTGTAAAAGTGATTTAAAAAAAAAAAAAAAAAAGATAATAATTAAGGTTTTTGTTAAAAGTGAAGGGCTGTAAAGAAATTTTTATAAAAACAGATGGAGGATTCATATGCTTCAACAGATATGCAAGAGAGAATTGTTTAGTCAGAATACACATACTTTTCGAATTGTAGATATCAATATTGCACAGCAGATACTCTAAGCCTTCTTTGGCTTTTGTGTAAAGGACCCTAATAGGGGTTTAAAAAGTGCAAATGAAAGGCTACAAATAAAAATTGTTAGGTATACATTATTATTGTGAGGGAAAGTGAATCCCAACATAAAAATTAATAAATTTCTAACAATCCGCAATAATAAACAATATTTTTAAAAAACTGCTATAATTATGTTAGTTGATTTAACCTATGCTGATTTTCAGGAATAAACAATGTATCTGCAAATTTTATTGAATTTAAGGAAAATTTCATTATTTTGATTAAAGTTATTATAGTTTTTCTACTTTCTACCACCTGATTATTTAAATCCGCTAAACTTTAACTATGGAAACCGTAAAAAAGGTTTTTCTATGTTGAACTGAAAATTTATATGAAACTACTATATTTCAGTTCTTTACAAAGAGAAATTCTAAGAGAGGTTTAATCAAGCTCTTTGTGGAATACATGCAAAATATGATGTGTTAAAGAAGCAATGGAAGCAAAAATATTGAATATTTCATGAAAATATAATATTAAACATTTTCTCTTCATAATTAGAGATGAAAATAATATTTATGTAAAATAATTTTCAGAAAATTTTCTGTCAGCTAAATCTGTCAAATTCTGCACAAAATATAAAATTTAAATAAATACTTTTGAAATATTAGTAACTTGACTTCTGTTATGCGACACATTCTGGTTATCAGTTTACATAATTTTGCTAGGAATCTTATGAATTTCAAAGGTGAAATTCTCTGCCATTCATATACTCAAATTTAAGAATCATAAAATTGCAATCACTACAAATGTTTTAGTATGTATATTCTTTCAAATAAAAATCTTTTTCAGGTTTCTCCCATCTTAAGCACAGAAATCCACAATGTCAAGTCAGGCCGACATTTAGCTGCAAAGTTGGGCATTTTAGTTCAACAGCATTACAATTTGGCTTCTACAACAGTTACTGGCATACCAATGAAAGTAATTCTTAATTGATTATCTGCTTTTGTCTCTGTTATGTGTTTGTAGATATCTATATTCTAGAACATGTTTTTTAAAATATTATTAGGAAGAACAAAATGCAAGTTCATCTGCAAATTATGATGTGGAATTGCTCCATCCTGCTGCAGCACATGCTGAAGTTTTCAAAACAGGTATGGTATTATGACTTGGGGGAGGACTTATCATGCTCTACTGACTGTTCAAAATGTAACACCATGGAGAACATGTGCTATTAAAATCATATTTAATGGACTTATAAGAGAAATACAGAGTTACAAGAGGGAATTAATTAAAATTGCTTCTCCATTCAACTTGCAAAACACAAAAAAATCAAGATTTTATGTAGCAGTCACGTATGACAATACCTACACTGAAAGCTTTTGGGGGGGTTATATCAATCCATACTTGTTTCCATATGATGCCTAACTTCATTTGGGTAAGTAGTGTATGTTGGACTACTCATTTGCCAATTGTCAGCTAGATATGTTCAGTAGATGACATATCCAGTTGATAATTAGTTGATAATCAGGACAGAATGAGTGAACCAACATAACAGTACAACCTCGTTGGCAGTGGAGGATTATTGAATGTTGTGTGTCATTTATGGCCAGGCATTATCCTCTTGAAACTTGGCCAGAAAGACAACAAGCTCCCAAATTTCAAAGATTTAATGGGGGTTGTTGAGCATGCTTTTCATGCATATTAGGCATGTCCAAAAATGAAATTCAATATCACCCCAAACCATATATCTGGGTGACAGATTGGGATAATGATTGGGTCATGGTATTTGTTACTATGGTGCTGCCAGCCTTGTAGATGCTTAATGTTGCAGTCTGAGTTGAGATTTATCTGAAAAGATAGTCCCGTTTGTTTGTCCATGTTTGGCATTGAACACATGATTGCAGTTGCATTTGCCTTTGGTATAGGATTAACAATATAAAATCGCAGTAATGGGCAAAACAAAGATTTTCCTTTTCTGCAGACAATAATTAAGTAATATGCATTGATAATAATGAAAGATTCATGTAAAATTATCTCTTGAAATGCTCGAGACTCTTCATCTAAATCAATGTCACAAAATTGTAATTTTGCCTGTGTTTTTAAATTTTCAGTATTAATTTTTGCTTTTTATCATAGTTTCTATCCTACTGTCATTGAAAGCTAGCAGTAACAGAATTCCTGCTTTGTGTGCCCCTCCCCCATATATATAAACAAAACTGTGTTTTCTTTCTAATAGAATAATTAAAAATTAAAATAAAAGTGTGTGTTGTAATAAAAGAGAATAATTTAGTATATTCCTTACATTTTTGGAAGTATCATTTTTTGTTTTTAAAACTAGCTGTACAAATGCTAGCTTTAAAAACATTACAAATATCCCTACAAAGACATTTTAAGTTACTGATAGTCAGATATGCTTATCAAACTTTTATTGTAATTGAAACAGTATAAAATTAATGTTTGTTTTTTAAATTAAAATTTATGTCTATGATTTGCAAATATCATATGATGTTGCAAATGCATTCACAATTGGTGGATTATTGTAATTGTACTGTCTGTACATTTGCTTAAAAAAGAATTAAATTTTAAAAATTATAAATTCTTTAAAAATTTTCAAGTTTTTTTATCAGAAATTTTATTGATATTTTTAATTTTTTTCAATACATATTTAGGAGTTGTAAATGCTGAAGGTGTTCATATTACAGCTGTCAAAGAAGGTCAACTATATGAAACTGTAACGTTAAAGTGGTGTACTCCGAGATCCAGCTCTGTTGGTAAGTTAGTGTTCTACATGCAATTTAAAGAATATTTTTAGTATGCAATTAGTACTATTTAAATACTTTTACATATATATGTGTGTGTATGTAAAAGTACTTAACAATTTTATATATGTACATATGTACTCACACACATATATACTCTGTCACAAAAAAACATATAGACCCAGAAGGAAACATATAATGAAAGTTAACGTGTTTGAAGAGATAAACAAATGATTACAAATTCAGGACAAAAGATCATTTTATTAAGAATTTATGGCGTGAAAAAGTTACAAATCAGTAAATAGTATAGCCACCTCAATACTAGGTTTCGGCAGCTATACAAGCCGAAACACCGTGTAGCATTGAATCAAGTTGGTCACCTATGATACCCTGTGGAAGATCTTGCCATAATCTTTGCAATTGGGCAGTTAATTCAGCAGTATTCTTACACAGCTGCTGCTGCCTTCCAAGCATGTTCCAAATGTGCTCTTGGTGACAGGTCTGATGATCTGGCAGGCACAGAAGTACGTCATATCTTTGAAGATATTGTTGGGAGAGTCGTGCAGTATATGGGTGAACATTGTCTTGCTGATAAAAGGCACCTGGGTGACCTGATATAGACAGTACGACCTTCATTAAAACATCATATGCTTAACTGCGAGCCATCATAGTATCTTGAAGTATCACTAGAGGTAATTGTGTGTCCCAACAAATCACTCCCTGCACTGTCACATCTTATGTATGCCGCTTGACAACAAATGCCGGATTGGACCGCTGGCCTGGGTGCCTCCACATGCGTGTGTGTTGGTCATCATCACTGAGACTGAATCAAAATTCATTGCTAAAGATCACATACGAGCGACACACCAGTAACAGTCAGTCACCTTCCAGCTTGCCCTAGTTCAGCAAAAATCCACTCGACGCTGCCGATGATGTGGGGTCAGTGGTAGAGGTCTTAATGGATGTTGGCAATATATACCAGGAATCGGCCAGTCATCTCCGAATAGTTTCCCTTGGTACTACCGGATGCCTGGAAGATGGTAAATGGTATTGAATCGATGCTAGTAACGTTGTTGGTGTGGAATTGGCTGCTGTTATGATTGTGTGAACCTCACGCTAATTTGTGTTCCTGGGATGCCTTGACCCTCCGCAAGGGTAGACTATCCCTTCTGTAATCCATTGTTGTCAACACCAAGCAGCTACCGTATTGCTATGACTGTGGCGGCAGCCGATATGCCTGTTCGACAAACCTGCTTCTCTGAGGCCTACTATATGGCAACAACTGCTTGTACTGCCGTTGGTTACATCTCGGAGGCATCTCTAGTCACAACACCTTCCATCCAAGTCAGCAGATTAGTTTAAATAACCCTACGTCATGAACAAACAACTGTTTATACTGTCCTTGGTTACATCTCGGAGGAATCTCTAGTCACAATACCTTCCATCCAAGTCAGCAGATTAGTTTGAATAGCCCCACAGCATGAGCAATCATGCTTTTAAACTCTCCCAGCTATGCATCTCGTATGCACATTGCACACTTCTGTCATTGGCGTCAAAATTTAAATCATTTGCATATCTCTTACCAGACTAGTTTTCCATATCTCTTACCTGCCAAGTTTCATGATTGAGGCTCGAATTCTTCCAAGTGCATATATTTTTTTGTGACAGAGAGAGAGAGATATACTTATATATATATATATATTATAAGTGTTTAGAAATTCCGAAATTCATAATATTAATTATTAAAAATCATACCTTATGCTGCAAAATTAATTAAATAATCGAGAGATATTAATTAAATCAGTACCAGGTATAATTCAGAAACGTGGCTCTGTTGAAATTATTTTGGCTGCTCCTTGAAGAAGACCAAAGAATTTTCAGTGATATTTTATTTTAATATGTTCTCTGGTTTTTGTTTCAATTTATATTCTTCCTGTTAGTCAGTTTGCCACAGTATTGATTTAATTATTATCTCTCTGTTTTATATATAGTATATTATTATGTACATATGTAGCTCAAATCATTTTGTTTTACAGAATTGCAGTATTGTACTTGTGCTTTTCGGATCACACCTGTGGATGTGAATAACAGGCCATCATCATGTTTAACAAACTTTTTATTGAATGGTAACATTTTTTTCCTAGTTTTCATGTCATGTATTGAAATATAATGAAATAAATTTGCATTTGAAAGTTATGAAATACTTACTGATATAGTAGTTTCTAAATTTTAATGAATTAAAAAAATATTAATATTCACTCATTTTTTGTGCTTATATTAAATATAAGTTATAGATAGTTATGCATTAATATAATTTTTTGTAAAATTTTATTAAAAAGCTTTTAAATTTGAGCTCTAAATGGTATTTATAATAAATTTTTCCATTTATTTTAATTATTATGTTAATAAATAGTGTAAAGTTATGTAAAATCATTGATTTCAAGAAAATCTCTAGATTATTATAGACAAAGATACAGGGGTTGTTAATCGTGGGAACGCTATGCGTAATAATTTTGTTTTTATTGATTATATGGTAAACTGTAAAAGTAACCAACTTTTTTTTTTTTTTTTTTTTTTTTTTTTTTAACAGGACATGCTTACTTTACATACATTCTCAGGTTTACACAAAATTATACAATTGTGGATTATAAAATTTTGTGTGTGTCAAAGGAAAATGAGAGACTTGACTGTTCCAGGGTGGTCAGCTTGATAGTAGGTTGGTCTGGTTTGTTGGTGAATTTGTCATGTTTGTCACAAAGTTACTGAGGATATTCCGGGGTAGTATGTTTAAAGTTATGGAAATGTATAATATTTATGGTAAAACATTTTGTGTTAGGAAAATAAAACTTATTTATAGAGCCAGAAAGATGTTAAAGAGATTTCTTTCCTTAAAAAAGAAACTACTGACACAAAACTGTTTACTTAGTTTAATATGCATCTGCAGAACCCTGTTTTAATACTTGAAGTAAGAAAGAGACTTCAAAAGTGGAATATTTATAACAGAACTGCTGTCTTAAAATTCTTGTTTAATAAAAAAATTCAAAGTGGATTCTGATGGTAGAAATATAAATCATCGAATGCTAACGAATGGAGCAAGAGCTGTTCCTCTGATGTGCTGCTATGCTGTCTCTCATTTCAGGATGGGTTTATGTACAGAAAACAAACAGACAAATACAGTCTAGATTGTCTGTATCCTATTTTAAAATTATGTTGGTGGTTTAGTTACACTCTGGCCAGTCATATCATGGTTTGCAGCAATTTCAGTTATCACCTTATTGGAAAGAATATTACGGTAAAAAGATAACCATTTTAAGACACCATATTCTTTCCAGTGCAAAAAGCACTATTTCGTACAGGTATTTGTATCTTTCAAGATGATAATGCTTCCGATCACTGAAGTCAAGTTGCTCAGTCATGATCTAAAGAACATGAAGTTGAAGTTACGTATTTTCCTTGGCCTGACTATCATTAGGTCATGAATATCATTTAACCATTATGGTCTGTGCTGGAAAATAGAGTGAGATTCTGTTTTCCTTTCCCAGGATCTTTGAAAGCATTGGAGCAATTTTTAATAGAAAAATGATGTAAAACATATGTTACTACCATTCAAATTACATGTAAGTTCATTTAAAAAAAATTCAAATAATTTTGAATGCTAAATGTTCAACCGTGCCGCATTACATGCACAGTTTTCCATTTTTAGATGTTTTCGTAAAATTTCATTATACATATTTTAAACGCAGCTGTAAATGTCTTGTATTAATGGGACCTCGCATATACAATTAAGTACTTCTACTAAAATAGTTTAGTAGAAGTATGCATCTGTTCACTTTCGTACCATATTAGGATGAATAGGGTTTTTACTATTTGTGATGAAGTTTAACGTTATAATCAAAAGATATAAGGTTATCCTTTCATCATTGAGAGTGGCAGAGATCTTGCCAAAGTTGCACCTATCGTTCCTGTGAAATTCTGCACTACAATTCTATCTGCAGCTCTTACAATAATATATTCATTAGTTTGCATGCACAGTCCACCAAACAGCCACTGCTGTTGAAGCATTCAATGTGCTTTGTTTTTCTGCAAATTAAAAGGCTTTTGTTGATGTATGCAGTTTTATCAGTACCTGAAATTTTACCAGAATCTGTATTTAGAATACTATGAGTGCAAACTTTCTACAGGTAATTATTGTTGTTTGGCTGTGCCATATGCAGCTGTTCTTTTTCTCTAATTTTAATTCTGTCAACTAGCTGCAAAGGAATTTGTATTCAATCATGATAAATGAAATTTCAAGGCCTTTATCCCCCCCCAAAAAAAAAGATACAGCAATAGCAGTTAATTTATATCCTTGTTCATAAAAATAAAAGGTAAATAGTCAAGAATCACTTGAGGTTATATGAAACAAAATTGCAGATGTTATGAGTGTGTTGTGATACTTATTCATAATTGGCGCTAAATCATGTTACTTGGGAACAGGTTCACAGTTGATAGGATAATTAAGTGCCGCATATAATTTGCATTGATTGCTGATTTCTGCAATTACATACTGATTACTGGTTCCTACAGTTCTTCACTTAACAGGTACATTAATGAAATACCACATATGATTTGCATCGATTATTGATTTCTACACTTGCCTTATTTCTAAAGTGCGTGTTTTTCTTTATCGTTTGGTATATTCTTTGTTTGTTGCTTTGAACTAATATATTTAAAAATCTCTTGCTTCTCTTAAAATGTGTATTTTAATTTTATGTATAAGATTTTTAATGTTTTTAATTGATAATATGTAAAATTTTAGCCTGATTATTGTTGACTAATATTTTAAAAAGAGTTTTGTTAATTTTCTAGGGCGAGCAGTGATGTTAGAAATGCCACGAAAATCGGGATCCAAGGTTTTATCTCATATGCTTGCAAGCCATGGAGGAGAGATTTTTATTCACACATTAGGAACAGGAAGATCAATTTTGGAAGATCCACCATCGATTAGTGAAGGTTGTGGTGGTCGTGTGACAGATTATAGAATAAATGTGAGCTTTGTCTTTTTTTTTTTTTTTTTTTTTTTTTTTTCTATATTTTTTATGTGTGGAATCTGGCATAACTCCTAAATTTTACATGTTTAGTACAATATTTAAGATTGGTTTTCAAAATACAAAAAAAAAAAAAAAAAAAATACAAAAATTGTAATATTTTAAATCTAAACAAAATTGTTGAAAGTAAGACTGCTTGTGTAGTTCAGATTGCAATCTGAGAGTGTTTTAAAAAATATAGGCCAGTTAGAAATCATAATAATAATAATAATGGTCAAAGTAGGAATGCTTTGAAAAGTTGTAGGAATATTGCAAGCTGATACAAGTAATTTTAAGTTACAGAAGAGTTCAGCATTCATGGTAATGTCATAAACCAGTTGTTGAATCATAATGAAACAGAACATGAATCTGTGTGTCATAGTATTACTTTAGTGGCAGCTGTCTTTTTGTCCCAAAATGCAAGACACCATAAACCTGTATAGCATGAAGCTGTCTATAAACTTCTTTGCTTGTACTGAAAAGCCCATATTTTGAAAACTGCCTTGTGTACTCTTAATAAATGTATTTTAATTACAAGAAGTCTTATTATTAAAAAACTAATTGCTTAATTTTTATTTTTCATACAAAGATATGTCCTTTTTCTCAATTGAATATAAATATCATAAATTAGACCTACCTTTTCTGCCCAGTATGCCAGTTCTCATTGTTGAATTTGAAGTAAAATAAGGTACTGAAATGAAGAGGTCATAAACTTTAGTAGACACTGACTGAAACGCAGTTGCATGGACCTCCGACCTAAGGTTCTACACCAATCAGAGCTATATGTCCATGCAATGGAAAAGAATCTACCATCCACCGCCAGCGGCGTTCACTGAATCAATGATAGTAATATTACAATGCTAAATTGACAATGTCATCTATACAATAATTGTTACATAATAATCCGTATGAAAAATAAACATACGATTAATTAATAATTACGTTGTCATGGATAGGATCTAAGTTGTGGATAGTGGAACTTATATATTAACCAGTTTTTAAACCTATGTCTTCTTCAATACGTCATAACTTCATGTTCTTATCAGTTACACACCTAATGATGTGTGTCCGTATTATTTTTGCAGTTATCCACAGTCACATCAGTTCAGGCAGTTGATAGTTCCATAGCCCAAAGTATATGATGTTGTGTAGGCTATTCTATGTTCATATAAACTGAATTCTAAGTTAACTTTTGATAAATTCAAAGTACACTTTTGTAGTTGTTCATTGTTCAAGTAAATACTCCTTGTCCACTTCGGTACATGATAACTTCATGTCCTTAACAGTTTGCACATCTCATTATGTGTGCCCATAGCAATTTGCACACTGTGTCGCGATTATCCACAAAGCAATCATGAAATTGCTGTTGGGAAGTTCATTGTAATATGTACACTATTTTACTATTATCCACAGAAGCAAATGTTTTGTAAATAATGACTTAGCTCCCAGATGATAAAAAAAAGAAGGAAACTAATTCTTAAATTTTTCAATACAATTCTAAATTGTACAAAACTACAGATTTGTTAAACAGTTCCAGTCAATACAAATTGACTGGTATTCCAGCTATATAAAGCGCATATTCTAAAATAAAACGTGTAATGGAAAACAGGAACTAATACCCAATTAAAATAGGCATAAAATACATAATTATTCAGCACATATTATTTACCAATCATCATACCATAAAAATACACATGTTTCAAATGCGGCAACTAATTTTTTATTACAGTTAGAATATTTACCAATCAAATGTACTACAAATGTACATGTTTAAAGGGGAAAAAAACTGCAACTAATTTTTTTCATTACCGTTAAAGTAATAAATTTCTATTATACAATTATAAATAGCACAAATAAACAATTTCAATCTATACAAATTGGCAGGTATTTCTACAATATAAGAACACATATTCAAATATAGCTAATCATTCTTGTAAAATGGCTATAATAGTGCCCAATTTCTTCAAATAATTAAAAACATCTACAGAAAAACAGGAACCAATTCCCAATTGTAACAAACATGAAATACCAAAAATTATTCAGTACATATTATATACCAATCAATTATACCATATAAATGCACATGTTTCAAATGCAGCAACTAATTTTTCATTACAGTTAGTATAGTTATCAATCCATCATACTATATAAATGCACATGTTTCAAATACTGCAACCAATTTTTCATTACAGTTAGTATATTCCAATTTGCCAGCTAATAAAATAAATCTGCTCTAAGTTGAATTGGCTGTAATTAAAATATCACATTAATAACAGGTTACAAAAATTACTATTTACATGATTTCATTTTTATAGTTTACATATAATTTCCATCCGCCGCTTTTTAGAAGCGCGTCCTTCACCTCCCTTAGTGTCTCGTAGAATCAAAACATTTTCCCTGACTGGGGTTGAAGTGTAACATGCTGGTTTTGAAGTCCATGAAAGTCACTGAGGTTATTCTCGACATTTATTATCTGTGTTCCTTTGTTTCTGCTGCATGTCAGAGCATGGCTGAATTGTGTCCTTGAGCATCTAAGTTGGAACCAAGATCAGAGGAATCAAACACTCTTTACAGATGAATCCTGATTTAACTTCTAGATGATTCTTGAAGAATCTTGATAATGAGAAAAACCAGAATTCAGTACTAAGCAATAAATTTTACAGTAAGAGATCATTTGGCTTTCAAGAACAAATCTGATAAAAATAGGTATAGGATATGTAGGAAAATAAATGATAAATTGGTCATCCCACCAAGTAATTCCAAGAGCTTCAATATGTACATAATCAAAAGTAGGTAATATTAAAACAGCAAGTGATTAACAACATTGTTGAGAACATTAATAACCTTGCCAAGCAAGCAGTTGAGCTTACAGAATATTTATTATGTATGCTAGTAGATAAATGTTTTCAATAAATATTACGAGGGTCACTCTGAAATTTTTGAGATACACATAGGTTTTTACTTACATAAGTTATACTTGCAAAATTTTAGGAGTGTTCAAAGTAGTCTCCTCCAGCATCAGTACACATATGTAGGTGAATTTACTAAAGATTAAATGTCTCAAGCTGTTCATTTCGTGGAATCGATGAAAAAAATGCATTTATAGTCTTATCTTCCGAATGAAAACTGCGTCCACAAAAATTCTTTCAGATTGAAATATAGCCAAAAGTCACACATAGCTAGATCAGGTGAATAGGATGGATGTTCTTTCACTTTGATGAGTTTTTGTTCAAGAAACTCAACTGTCAGTCTTGTTGAATGAGAAGCATTGTCATGATGGTGGAGCATGAGTCCTTTAACATTCACTTTTTGAAGAATTTCTGGAAAACACTTGGTGGCGAAACAGTTAGCTGTGAATGTCTTCTGTCCTTCCAACTTGATAGCTTTGACCAGTCTTATACTTCTGAAGAAAATGGCATAGATTACTTTTGCAATCTCTGTGAAGTTCTGTAAACCATCTGCATTCAGTAGCACGAGATGGACTTTAATTTTCAAATGCTAATTGTAGATGTTGAATGTTGAACACATTCTTCTTGATTTAATCCCACTTAAAAATCATAGCAAGATAACGTTCTCACGTCAACTCTGTTTTTCCTTTTGCCTAAAACTTATTCTTCCCTAAACTACTTGCAGTTGGTCAATAAAAAGTAATCTTCCCTAAACTACTTGCAGTTGGTCAATAAAAAGTAATCTTCCCTAAACTACTTGCAGTTGGTCAATAAAAAATAATCTGTTAGGCTAAAGTAGTTCATATTTTCAAATTTAACCATTAATTTTTCCTGGCACTTATCATCTGTACATATCATAAAAATTTCAGAGAAACCTACATAATAATGTCAAATTTTATCAAAATGTCGGTCGTAATGCATTTTTTTAAAACTTATATTTTTAGTCTGTGGTGTAGTTTGTCCGTGAAAAACTATGTGGAAGTTAAAATTTCTAGAAATACACGTTACCTTTTTTTTTTTTTTTTCCGGGGGGAGGGAATGAAATTTGCAAAGATCATTCAAAAAGAATTAAAATTAAAAAGTCAGAAATTTCTGTTGTCGAATTTCTTTTTTATCTAATTAAATGAAGTGAATATGCATAGTTACCTGATCTGTATGTTAAAATCTGCAAGATATTTGTTTACTTTTTAAAACTTTTTTTTAATAACCGTAGAAAAATTAAGTGAAATACTTTTACTAGTGTTACATGCATACAGGTTCGTAATAGATTGAATGACCACACCTTCGATAATAGGTTGATAAGATTTATTTAGTCAACTAAAACACTTCAGACATCTAGAACTTTCCACAAAGATAGTCGTACAACTCTTCACAATATGATAGAGTATAATCAGTAGTTACACTTCAAACTACTATGAAGATTGCAAAGCGCAGCTAAAGAGAAAGCCACCCAGAGATATCACTTTCTCCAACTAACTATAACTAAGAGCAGCACTTTCTCCTGCCTATCATAGCTTTCCGAGATATTCGTAATACAGTCAAAAATTGTTAATTCGGACACCCATAATCCGGACCTCAAAGCTACAAACTTTCTGCGCATGCGTCGCGCATAAGACCTTTACGGCTGCGAATATGCATGTGTGCATGCCCAAAATACGTTTACGCATGCACGTTTAATGTGTAACGGACGGTATAAGCTAAGCTAAAATTATCTATTTCAGTTAATGTTGCAGATTGCGTTGTGCCTTAATCTTCGAATTGGATCCAGCTTATTATTTTTTGCAGACTGTTAGAGCAATTTTATAAAAGTAAGCTTGAACTTTTGTATATGTAAAATAGAATTTCCGATATATATTTACTAATATGTAAAGGACCTACAAAGTGAAAGTATGTTTCGAAGTCCATTAAACAAAAAGTGGAATTGCTCCATAAAAGGGATAAAGGCATATCCTTTGTTTATCTAACCATTCCAAAATCTGTTCATCAATTTCACGCTGCTCTGCGGCGGGCGCAATGAATTGGAAGTTGATCTGTCAGCACTATCGTTATCTTCAGGGCAGATGTTTTTATTTTATTTGGCTTATAATTCCTTACTAAATGTAGTATTTCATCTCGATGTACTCCATCTTTGATATGATTTAAATCAAATTCCTCATCATTATAATTCACTTCCGATAGCGAAGAAAGTAAAGTAAACAAACAAATGTTAAGCTTTTTTTTTTTTTTTTTTTTTTTGTAAATTTTGATACCGTTTAGATCATAATTGTTCTTTATTTCATAAATTACAGTTTCATATTTTGAACTTTATAATTTCTGCATGCCATCTTACCAGATTTAAACTGATGATCTATAATCCGAAAAAATCGATAATCCGGAATCGCCGAAGTGCCGACGAGTCCGGATTAACGACTTTTGACTGTACTTTCTGCTTCTCGAAATTACTTGAATTCAGTATGAGGGTTGAATTACAATTGTAGCTAATATAATGATCAACAAGATTTATTCATTTACAGTACCTATTACTGTAATAAAGGAACTGGACCAGAATGTAGCCAAGCTTGGCGACTTTTGGCGATTTCTTGCCGAATTTGGTGACAAAAGTTAGTCGACAAAACCACTGCCAGTTTGGCGATATCTCAGAATTGCTTGTCTCTAGAATTTTTTTGTTACATTATTTAGAAAAATACAACAATTCCACATATCATTGCACTAAATTCATCAATATGTGTACAATGTTCATAACACTAGCTTTTGAAGTATAATGCATAATTCCTGTCTATAAATGTTTGTATGAACATGATTTTGCTGTGTAGTTTTTATAGTCATTGCTAGCATGCCATATGTTGAGAATTTTGAAGCTTGATTGTTTATAATTCTTCCAAGTTAGACGATTTTCAGTAATTTTTTTTTTTTTTTTTTTTTTTTTTTTTTTTTTTTTTTTTTTTTTTGTTAAGCTTTAATGTACTGCATTTACATTAGTATTGAATTACTTTTTATTAGTTGCATTTTAAAATAAATTTTTTGTACTGTAGGATTTTGGGGAATTTATGAAGCAGAATCGATTAGTTCCACATCCTCCTAAAAAGGATGTTGTTGAATTCCCGATTGAAAAAGGTAAAGCTTTAATGTATATTAATATAGTTCATGATTTGGGTATATTATTTTTCTCTGTATAGAACAATATTTTAACAGTTTGTATTTGAATATACCATTGCAGCAAAGAAAATGTTAGCCAGATTGACACTGTATTGGCCTATGGTTATCAGTCATACAACTATATTTAATATGACATCTGTGAGTATATCTCATCTTTTTTATCTTGAAATTAAGAAGTTTGATTATTTTTCATCCTAAAATACTTTTTCTTGTGAAGTAATATGTTTTGTAAATATCTTGGGTCTGTATTTTTTAATCCGTATTTGTGAAGTCTCTGTTTGTTCAATTTATCGTTGTTATTGCAGCGTTTTATTTGTGTAATGAGCATTTTTGATAGTTTTTAGGTACTATGAAGATGAAGTAATAACTATCTATCATTTTCTGCCCTCAAAATTTATTGTAGATGTAATAGAAAATTTAAATAGTCAAGTATTGTATTTCAAGTATATTTTCAGTATAATCTCTTTATTTTCCAATGAGTGGGATTTGTCTTCGCACTTTCTTTCTTTTTCATGTTTTGGAGGATGGGTATATGATTTTATTTTTCAAAACTAGCTGTTGGGACACTAAATGTACGAGGGTTGGAACTTTAATAGTGGCAACTATTTATTTACAAGGAATACAAAAGTGATTCATGTCACCACGTTTTACAGTCCTTCAATATAGTCGCCAGCATTGTGTACAACCCGTTTCCAGCGATGTAGAAGTCGCAGAATACCTGTAGCAGCGCCTGTTTTGTTGATAGTTTCAATGGACCGGTCTACTGCCACAAGAATCACAGGAACAGTTTGGGAGGAAGTGCCACGAAGTGGTTCCTTCATCTTAGGAATTAGGTCATACTCACAAGGGCTTAGATCTGGGGAGTATGGTGGATGGTAAAGCACTTCCCAGCCCCATCGCTTGAACAAATCAGTCACAGCTTGTGCTGCATGCGGCCGAGCATTGTCATGCAAAATGAGAGGAGCGTTCTGCAGAAAGTGTCGAAGTTTTTTTTCTCAAAGCTGGTCGGAGATTGTGCTCCAAAAATGAGCAGTAATACTGCGCAGTGACGGTCTGCTGTGAGAAAACGGTATGCGTTAGGATGACACCATCACAGTCGTACACGAGAATCACCATAACTTTCACATTGCTGGGGTTCTGACGAAATTTCGAACGTCGTGGTGACCCGTGATGACGCCATTCGTTTGATTGGCGTTTCAGTTCTGGCTGGTACGATCGCGCCCAAGTCTCATCCAGCGTAATGATACGGCGTAAAAAAGAATCTTCTTCGCGCTCATAGTGCTCCAGGTGGGTTCGGGCAGCATCGTATCGTAGCCATTTCTGCATTTCCGTCAATTGATGTGGAACCCATCGTGAAGCAATTTTTCTCATGGACAGGCATTCCTTCAGAATGTGCAGCAGTCGTATGCGCTAATCCTGTTCATCTGGCCAGCTGACGAATCAAAATTGGCGGTGATCACTGTCCATTAGTGCGGCAACAGCTTGCACGTCTGCATCGCTGACACTCGGACGACCTGGCCGCAGCATGTCTGCCACGTTTTGGCATCCTTCATTGAATGCTTTCACCCATCTTGCTACGGTTCTGTAAGGCAATGCAGATTCCCTGCAAGCCTCTTGAAGCCCTTGATGACACTGTCGTGCTGTACGACCTCTGGCACATTCAATTTTTATCCAACATCGTTGTTCTTGTTTTGAAAACATCCTGACAACACTTACTTTAGACCGCGAGCTAATACAAGGATTCGTTCTTCGCGTCACTCCGCATGCGCGTGACATAGGCAGGACGAGTCTTTTTGCTGAGAGGAAAGGTAGGTATGTAGTTCACGTATGGTATACGCGATTTTCTTTGGTTTTGTTGCGTAGCGTTTTTTCAGCTGTATTGCCACTATTAAAGTTCCAACCCTCGTATAATGAACTGATGTTTTCTTTCATATATTTTAATTACTCCTTTGAAAGAACAAAGCTTGGAAGCTTTAAATCATATAGAATTCTTCGCTCGTAATGAAAACAGTAGCTTGCTTTATAAGCATGCATAGCAATGAGCTAAATAACATCATTTAAGATTATTCCTGTAAGAGAGTGAGAAAAATAAGAATCTATTTATAAGAGTAATTTTTTTTTAATTCTTTTTGTTCATTGTGCTAATATGTTTATCTTAAATTGTATTCAGGAGAAACATATTAACTTCTTTTGAATGTAATTTAAAAGTGTTCAGGTTTATGGGACACATGTAAATTTCATATTTATAGGGTGTTCTAAGAAATCTCAATAGATTAAAAAATTATATAAAATCTGCAGACCTGGTGTATTAGAAATTACAGTTTGTACCTAAAAACTTATCATAGAAGTGGATTTTTCTTTTCCTTTTGAAGACAGTGATTTTATTATACAGGGAGGCAAAATTTGTGGGTAAGTAAAATGAATGGGTAAAAAAATTTATGAAACTGTCACTGCCTCAAATTTACGGTAACAGTTTCATGAAGAATTTTATACTCAAGGATTTACATTAAAATTTGGGGAGAGGAGGTGTCTACCAGAAACAGAGCAATAACACAAACTAATAAAATTATATTATACACTTTTAAATTGAACATCAATAAGCTAATCCAATTCTGGAAATGTATTCAATATCTTTATTTTAAATAAAGCTATTTTTCTGTTCCATTATATTGTGCTTAGTTTCTTCATAAAATAAAGGGTCATCACCATGCAAATTGTTGGCATTAATAGGCAGTGGTGGGCAATATTATGAAACTGGTCTATTTCCCTTTTTCCAATATTCTAGAAATCTGCCAAAATTTAGAGTAATTCAGATTTCACACTTCTTCTTTCATCTTGTTTGGATTTTATAAAAAGATTATTTTGCAGCATTTTTTGGGGGGTAGAAATTCTAATAGTAAGATGCATTAAACATACTTAAATGAATCTAACATTTCTTATAGAAATTTCAAAATTCTCAAAGTCAGAAATTCTTCTAAAATTCATGGAAATTCATAGAGTATTTAAATCTGTGAACTATGAGCTGTTTTCTGTGTGTGTGTTTCCAGATTTTCTTAATTTTTATATATCCATTATTATTCATTTTAAGACACTGATGTATATGTCATCTTTTCTCCATAGCAATTGTCACCTTTACTTGAGTTGATAACAAAAGAAATTCTAGATAACAACGAAGTTACTGAGTGTAAAAAAGTGATTTATTATCTTGTAAATTATGAAAGCAAAGGGACTTCCCTTCCTGTTCCTGCTGTGGGGACTAGAGGGAAAGGGCCAAAAAGGTTTGTATTATATTACTAATATTGCATTAGTTAAATTCTCATGAATTGATATCTGTAATTTATTGATGCAAACATGTGAGATATCTTACCGAAAACTGCAGGCAAATTTATTCTTCTCAACCAAGTATTTGTGAAGGTTTAAAATCTTCACAGTGTAAAAATGTCAGGTCTTTTGAGAAGATGAACTTTTATTTTGAAGAAAAACAGCCTTTATAAAGGCACCAATGCTGTTGTTCAAATAGGCTTCCAGATTCAATTTTTAACGTGGAGGGGGGGGGAAGAATCTTTCGTATGAATAATCAGCACTGCTATTCAGTTTGTTACTTAGAAAAGAATCCTATTTATATAACAGCATGCCTGCATAATGATGCTGTCACTTTTATGAAGATTGCTTTTTTGCCCCCTAAGTTCAATATTAATAAAGTTGCTTGCACTTTTATGTGGAATGACTACTGTGACAATTTCTGCTTTGGAAAACACTTGCAGGCTTGCATAAGAATGCCATCATCATTACACAACAACCCAAAAACTGTTTATTAGCATGATTTTTTAATATCTTGCATATTAATTTTATAATGAACTTTAATTTTAGTTTCAGTGATTTTAAGGTTTTGATGTAATCTTTATGGTATGAACTGCTTCCAGTCCTCTGTTGCAAAATTTAAAACTTGCATTTCTTGCTTGTATATTTGTGTGTTATGTATGATAAAGTGCTTGAATGTACATAAAGATGACTAGTTTGCTGCAGCATCTGACCTTTCCATTCTCTAGTTTCTTTTGGTAAAAACTGTGGTGGAGCCTAAGCAGATAGCCCTTATATGCTTTGCCTAAATTAAATAATGCAATCCAATTCAGTAACCTTTCTGCATCCTTTCATAAAAATTTTATTTTTGATGAAATTTCTATAAAAAATTTGCTCTGTTTTTTTAAAAACATTTTCAGTGTTTTTAACTATCAATAATAACTTACCTTTTTTTTTTTTTTTTTTTTTTTTTTTTTTAAGAGAAACTTGTATACAGAAATTCATAAAATTATTTTTCATTCACAGAGAAGAACAGTACAGGTTGATGTGGAATGAACTTGAAGCCTTTGTACGCTGTCATTGCATCACCCTAGAGCATAAAAGTGTGTTGGAATGTTTACTTGAATGTAGAAAACCAAATACTGATGGAGAAGGGGCAGCTTCAATTGCAAGTGTAAAGCTGCAGCTTGGAGCTCAAAGTCCATCACATTCACCAAGCAAAAAAATGGAGAAAACTGTTAGAGATGAAAAGATTGATATTAATAAATTTGATCCTGATGAATGTAAAGCAGCAGATAGGTATTTTTTCTTTAGTACACTAATAAATTATTATAGAATGAAATAGAAAGTATCGCAGTTTGCTAATTACATGTCAATGGTTTTATATTTGGGTATTTTTAAAATATCTGTCATGTATCGTTTTAAAAATAACTAAACAGATACTATTTTGGAATTTTTCTATTCTGTTTTAAGGCATTTCTTTTGCTACATTTAAGAGGATAATCTGGTCACCAATTAGATTATTTCTTAAACGACTTTTTTGCCACCTAACATAAGAGTTAGTTATGTTAAGTATCACCTTTCTATATGAAATTCTAAGTTTGTAAGCTTTTAATTAAAGCAAGTAACTTTTTAATAGCTACTTTGAATAATTTCTGAGTTCTCACTTCCATGTGACTTTGATTTTAAATTTTTTTTAAGCTGTAATTAGCATATATAAAAAAATATAAATTATATAATCTCTTAAATTTTACAAAAACTAAAATTTATTATTTGAGTGTTAATTTCTGTTTTAAAATTATTTATTGTAAGTATTTTTGCAATCATTAAAAAAAAGCAATAATTTGTATATAATCATAATCTTGCACTGAAAACTCACAGCAGTATTTTCCATATTTCTTCAAGCTTTGAAAGGAAAAATTTTCAATAATTATTGCAGTTATTCAAGTATTATATTCCTTATTGTCTTTAGATTCATAACCATGTTTAACCCTTTCAAGGAGTGCACCTGTGTTTAAGACATTCCTTCGGGACAAATGGGAGTAAAAAAGAATGGTCCCACTGGGTGGGGATTTTGCATCACTAAGCCTAACTGTAGAAAAAATCAAAAAAAAAAAGTTTAAGTCCTAACGTCATAATTTTTGTACTATTTTAGACTATTACTTAAGCTGTCGTGTATTTTAAAATTGATATATAATTGTTTTTCTTTACTTTAATGTGAATATATTAAAAAATTGCTTACTTTGAGAAATCATTTTGAAAGCACTATTCGTATTATTCTGAAGTTTTAATTGACAAAATATATTAGTAAACTTTAATAAAAATGATACAAGAAAGACTATTTACAAGAAGTAACAAAAATCTTTCACAGGAAGTGGAAGGCATGCATTCAGTCTCTAACAAAATGCCATATCAGAATCACTAGAAATATTGCTCACTAATTCTTAAGCAAGTGAATCATTGCTCTGTCACTAATTGGCTCATTTACTGTGTGAGTATATCCTTCGAATAACTAATGAAGTCAAGGCTTTCCAAAATAAAAATGGAAGTATGCAACATATAAGAGATAAAAGTAATGGAAAGCATAACAGAACCCCACATAGTAACCCTAAAAGACACTACATAGTAGTAAAACAAATAAATAAAAAGGATTTGGTGGGATATCAGAAATGCAAATGCTTATATCACATGCAAGTTAAAGAGCAGAGCTCTACTTGTTTACCTTACACTTTCCCTCCTTCCCTGCAACAGCTGACAACTATATTCTTCAGAATGTGATCAGACTGAAGGTCAGGATCCTAAACTATATTTAGATCAAAAGTAGTAGACACAGAACACCGCTCAGTGATCTTATATGCATCACCCATCCCTCACATTTGTTCTCCAGTGATGCATAGGTGGGATGCCTGGCTGTGAAAGATGTTCGTAGGCAATGTGTATGGGACACCCATCTGGAATGGAAGTGATTTTCTACTAATGTTGTTTTTAAGCCTGAAATATTTAAAGTTGTCTAATTTCATTTTAAGCTTCATGAAATAATTGCTTCTTCTGTCTCACAAGTAAAATCATGTTAAAGGAATCTAAAATTTGTTTTATCTTTTATCAAGCATGATGAAATATAAATATATTAGTATAATAACAAAACATGCACATAAATGAAAAATGTAGGTCTAAGTAGATTTTGTTTGCTGAATTTAATAAAATATGTTTTATGTATATATACTACACGACACAGAAAATGCCACACCATGAAGAAGCAAACACATTACCATGCAGAGTTCTGTAAAAGTGCTCAGAAATTTGTATACAAGTTATTCAACTGCTTGCATATGTAAACTGATCAGACAAGTAGTTTATGGGTTGCAAAGATTTAAACAATGGGTGAACCCACCAGTTTTGGTGACATCGCAGCTATTCTGTACTATTATCACATGCCTGTGATTATAGCTCCAGCAGTTGAAACATTTTTTATTGTCATAGCTTGAAACCATTCTAGAAGAGCTGTTTAATGTCTCACCTTCCTGCATTTTTGCACTTCCTTGAGATAATTGTATTTGTTATTATTTCATCATCAGGTAATTATAGTTCTTTGTTTGAGTAAATTGGGAAATTCCTGGTATGAGGGTTGCTATTTATATTTCTAGCCTAATAATGAAAAAACAAATGTTTCTGATCGAAATGGGTTTTATTGTTTTCCAAAATATTCTCCATGAAGATGAATGCACTTTTGCATGCATTTGAACCAATTTTCAAAGCACTTTTTCTACTCTGATTTTATTATTTTTTTTTTTTTTTTTTTTTTTTTTTTTTTTAAACTTTTTTTACTTCTTCAGGTGTTGCAAATTCCTGACCATGTAATTTATTTTTGATGTGCAGGAATTTAAAAAAAAAGTCATTGGGCAAAAGGAAAAAGCCAAATCAGGGCTGTACGGAAGGTGACCCATCAAATCGATGTTTTGGGCCATCAAAAATTCCTTTCTTTGAGACAGTGTGTGGCAGCTTGCATTGTCATGATGAAGAATGATTCGCTTCTTCTGTATTTTTCGAATTTCTCTGACGGCTTCTGGCAAATTAATGATCACGTACCATTCAGAATTGTCCATCCTGCGTTGCTGTAACGCCACTCGCTTCATGTGACCAGTAATGCCAAAGAAACAGAACAACCATTTGCTTCGATGTGCTTCTTTCACAAACAACTTTTCTTTGACTTTGCTAGTCTTGGAAAACCCATACAGCGATCTTCGTTTATCAGTTCACGCATAGCATCTGGTTTTTGGAGACCTGCATGGGATTTGTCCTGGAGTGAACACCGACCATGACTAAATTCTAATTCAGAAGTCAAACAACAAAAATCAGCGTTATATTCACAAAATTTTCACAGGACTAGTTTGATGGTTTTACCGAACCATCATCTTCAGCTGCAAAACCGCAAATGAACAAGATAGGAAATAATGATTAGATAAGATAAGAAAGCCTGGACAAGAATAAGCAAGTGGCGCCATCTGTTGGCGAAACCAGAACTAAAACATAATTTCTCTAAAAGCAGAAGGCAAATTTGGATTGGAATTAGGATCGTTAACTAGAACAGAAAGATTTTTATGAATGTGAAATGCCTCTAGAAAATCCAGTTCTCCAATGGAAGATGTTTTTTGAATAATTTTGGCAGCAGAAAAATTGAAAGTGTGATTTTCGGACCAACAATGTTGAGCAACAGAAGACTTCTGTGTTTCCTTTTTTCTAACATATGCCTCATGTTCTTTGACGCGAAATTTTAAGTCTCTCTTAGTTTGACCAATGTAAATTAAACCACACTGGCAAGGAATCCTATAAATACCCCAGGAATTCATATCCGGAATGGGGTCCTTGAGTATAGAAGTTGGAATTTTATTGATGGGAGAATAAACAACCCGAAAGTTAAATTCTGCAAAATATGTGCAACTTTATAGCTAATTGATGGAAAGAAGGGAATGACAACAGAATTTTTATAATCTCCTAAAATAAGAGTGTGGCTTTTAGTGTGTTGAGATGACAATTTTTTAACTGCTTGATTAATAATGTTGGGTGAAAAGCCCCTGTCAATAGCTATTGCTTTTAAATAATTTAGTTCTTCATCAAGGGCTAGTTTGGAGGAGCAAACTTGAAGAGCACGGAAAACATAGGAATAAAATGAAGCTAACTTTTGTTTAGTTGGATGACATGATTTAAAGTGTGGTGGAAGGCAAACCGATGAAGGTTTATGGTAAACTGTAGTACTGAAGTTGGATGTGTTACGTGTGACCAGAATATCGAGAAACGGAAGAGAATTGCAAGTCTCAAGTTCAAAAGTGAACTGAATAGCAGGATCAAATAGAATTCATTGTTGAAAGAACTTATTTAAATCATCTTATTACCTTCAAACAGGGTAAAAGTATCGTCTATGTAGCAGAACCATGCCGGGAAGTTTAAAGTTTCAAACAATTTTGATTCATAATAATGCATGTAGATATCGGCCAGGATGGGACTGAGGGGGGCTTCCCATGGCTAATCCCTCGGTTTGCTTGTAATATTTATTTTGGAAAACAAAATTTGTTTGTTTCAAACAGAGTTGAGTGAGAGAAATTAGCTCATCAATTTCGATGCAAGAGAAATGAAATTCGCGAAGTCTGGTTTCTAGACATCTTAATGCACCCTCCACTGGGACATTGGTGAATAATGATTTTACATCAAAAGAAACCATGAGTAAATTACTAGGAGAAATGTTTTTAACCTTTTTTACAAACTCTATTGAATTTTTTATGGTGTAAATGTTATTGTCTAATAGAGTGGAAAATCTAGAAACTAAATATTTAGCTAATGGATACGAGGCAGTGGGAAGATTTTTTGAGCTACTTGAACTGGAAGACTGTAAAAGAAGTTTTTCGAATTTAACTGCAATTTAATTGTAAGTGTGTTTTTATGACGGATTAACTGCATTCTCCGTTCTAGACCAAGACTTTTGTTCAAGGCCCGTGAATTTTGGATATGGAATTTAGCGAGTTCCAGATGAAGCTTATAGAGTTCATGTTCAATTTTGGACAATTGTTGACGTGTATCCCTTATCATGGACCGAAGTAAGGCTAGCGTTGCAATTTAAGAGAATTCTTGAAACGCGACCCGGAAGGTTTTTGATTAGATTTGATTTGAATAAATTGGGAATCAATTTTTACATTTACATTTAAAGTCAAAAAGTCAAGATGATTCAGGAATTTTTGCCGTTTCAGGCGTAATTTAGTGAAACGATTAACGGATGAAGGCATGATCTTCCCATTGTAAACATCAAG